CCCCCCCCCCTTCTCCCCACTTCTTTTCTGGTCGTGAGAAAATGGTATTGGCTAGGACTGATTCTGGTATTATGGCCTCCGGCATTTGTTTTGGAGTCCATTAACTTGTATTGTGCTTACTTTTGTGCTGTGTTTACTTTTGCAAAGGCAGGTTGGCAGGTTCTTAGTGTATACTTAAGTTTGTAAATGATGAACCAAGCACTGGATAGCTAGCTAGCAAACACAGGGACAGCCTAGAGTAATGGCAGAGCAGATTACTGTAGAGAAGCTGCTTCTGAGTAGGTACTGAAGGAATTGGTTATCATGTTTGAGACCTCATGGAGGTCAGCTAAGGTCTTAGATGACTGGGAAAGGGCAAATATAGTGCTCATCTTTAAAAAGGGAAGGAGGAGAATCCAGGAAACTACAGACCAGTCTGCTGACTTTGATACCCAGAAAGATATGGAGCAGGTCTTCCATTGTGAATCACCTAGAGGAGAACAAGGTGATTGGGAACAGACAGCATGGACTCGCCAAGAGCAAGTCATGCCAGGCCATTGATAAAGTGACAGGCTCTGTTGCCAAGGGGAGAGCAGTGGATGTAGTATAACTTGACTTTAGCAAGGCTTTTGACAGTCTCTCTTGATATTCTCATTAACAAGCTAAGGAAATACAGACTAGATGAAAGTACTGTAAAACAGATATGTAACTGGTTGGATTATTATGCTCAGTGAATAGTCCTCAATGTCGTCATGTTTAGCTGGGAGGAGGTTTCAAGTGGGGTTCCCCTGGATCTAGTATTGTTTAATATCTTGGATTGTGTGCACACTTAGCAAATTTGCGGGTAACACTAAATTGGATAGAATTGCAGACAGTCTGGAAGGGAGAGAGAGGGTCTAGAATGATCTGAATAGACTGAAGAAATGGTCCACAACCAATCAGATGAGATTCAACAAAGACAAGTGCAAAGTCCTGCACTTGGGACGGAATAGTTGCATGCACAAATACAGCCTGGGGAATGATTGGCTAGGTTGCAGTACTGCAGAGACGGGTTACAGTGGACCATAACCTGAATACAAGCCAACATTGTGCTCTTGCAAAAAAAAAAAAGCCACCAGCATGCTGGGTTATATTAATAGAAGTGTCACTTGAAACTCAAGGGAAGTGATTCTTCTGTTCCTGTTCAGCACTGGCGTGGCCTCACTGGAGTACTTTGTTCAGTTTTGGGTGCCACACTTCCAGGAGGATGTGGACAGTTTGGAAAGAGTCCAGCACAAAAATGATTAGTGGCCCGGGAAGCAAGACTCATGAGGAGAGACTGAAAGAACTAGGGTTTTGTAGTCTGGAGAAGAAAGGATTGAGAAGAGGGGGAGTGGGATTTGATAAGAATCTTCAAATACCCGATGGGCAATGGCGTTAGAGGGGACAGGACTAGGAACAATGGCCTTAAGTTGCAGCAGGGGACATTTAGGATGGAGATTAGAAGGAACTTTTTGACGACAAGGGTGGTCAAGTATTGGAACAGGATACCTGGAGAAATTGTGGAATCTACATCCTTGGAAATTTTCAAGAGCTGGGATGATGATCCTGTCTTGAGTAGGGGCCTGGATTAGATGACATTGTATGGTCTCTTCCAGCCCTGCTTTCCTAGATATTCTATTCTTTATACCCTGTTAAAATCCAAATACTTTTTTCCTTTCCTAGATTTGCCATTATAAATGTTAGCAGCAGTATGAGTTTCCCCTCTGCTTTTAAAAATATCATATCTTGATTGATCATCATCACTTTGAGTAGGCAAGATAGAGCTGATTTCTGCACGTACTTTTCAGTTAAAATGTGTATGATGATATATAATGATAACGCTTGTCATTGCTTTTGTAAAAGTATATCGGAGTACTCCCATACATAACTTTTCATTTGATGTGTTTAGAAAAGATTTTGAACACTGTGTGTGTCACTTTGAATTCAGTTTATTGCCTTGCTTTCTTAAAACAATAATGATGCATCATGAACCAATAATTTCTTCAGCTAACCCACAGATTGAAAGACGGGAGGGGGATTAAAAATTATGGTTAACTGTTTGGCTGTATATCCTTTATGCAATGAGTCACTACTGTATAATGGTAAAACTGCACTTTCTCTGGAAGGAGAATACAGCTATTTCCCGAAAAGCATTTTTGCTTACTATATATAATGATATCTTAAAGGCTTATACTTCAGTGTGTATCCTGTTTTCTAAAGATGTTTGCTATCTACAGGGGTTTCCTGAGGATATTCACTTGAACTGTTTTCTGCCACCATCTCTGAATATATACTACTGTTATGGTCTCTTTCCTATCTGTTGTAGTTACATAAAGCAAATGCTGGAGCTTATTTTTATAGTTATTCAGGTTATACACATGCCATGCTGAAAAAATACAAGATGATATATTGGCTATTAGGACATTAAACGCAATCAATTCATACATTTTTCTGTTTTGAATTTATGCTATTCCAAACTAAACAATTATTTGTCAGTTATTTATCACGTTTCACGTGGGAGTAATCGCCTACTATTCTGAATGCAATAAAATAAAGTTAGATGAGAGAGGACAAGTAGATCCTGTTCATTGTCAGAGGACATAATCTGCAGTACATGGAATATACACATATGCCTATTATTGACAAGACAATTTTTTTTTTCAATTTGGTTATAAAAGCTTACTCTGCTTACTAAATCTTGATTTACCCTGAATGTATTTTATAGTATTGCTTATTCACAATCTGGAAAACCTGCTCTCTTGTGCATGAATTTGAAGACTGTTTTCTTTATAGCCAGATTTGTCTGTCACTTCTATTTTTACTAAACACATTGAGCCATTTGCATCTTCAAGTTTTTCCCATTTTGAAGGGAGGGGGGGAGTCTCTTACCTGTCTATTTGTAACCTAATTTGCATGAGTTGCATTAGAATATTCCTTCGGGATTGTGGGGTGGGAAATGAAATAGACAGAATTTTAATGATTTTTCCAAGGAGGTTTTGAGGTATACGCTAAAATAACTTCTTTATGAATTTCATGGATTATTAAAGTAAAGCACATCTATGATCAATTTGCAAAAGTTTTCCATTGGGGCAAGCAGAATTGGGATCAGAGCCCAGGATTTCCAGTACGGTTCTCAAGTCTAGCTGCTGACTGGAAATGATACAGAAGCTGCAGTGACTTTAAATTATTTCATTTTTGTCATTAGTCGGCAAGCTTTTTAAAGCAGGGTTTGGCAGCGTTTTTGGGCAGAATGCCAAAAACACCCATAACCTCAATTTGTAAGTGTTGGTGTGCCAGGGACAGATGGCAGGGGAATCATGAGGGGCCTGATCTGTGTTGTGGCAGCGCAGCCCTGGCCTCTTCCCTGAGGCATGTGTGCCAAGCAAAATGCCTTAGCGTGCCACACACTGGCATGTATGCCTAGGGTTGACTACCCATATTTAAAGGTTGTTGGAAGGAAAAATGCACCTTATTTGTCTCTTTCCTTCTGTCCTGATCGCTACCTTTACTGAATAACCAGCTACCTTTTTACCTCCTGGGGTGACTAGTTCCCCGGTTATGTAATTTTACAACTTCCTTCATCTGGGGAGGTAGGCTGGATTTGTGTACCTATGTCCTCTTAAAGGGTCTGCTGCCCTTGTGACAAAGCCTAAAGCAGTGGTTCTCAACTGAGGTGCTGCAAAACTACCACAGGGTGCCACAGTGCAGGTGTTGCCACCAGTGGTGGCCGGATAAAACTGCCCCACGCACAGGGCTGTGGCATATGCTTACTCTTGCATTAAAGTTCTCTGATAACCCTAAAGCAAGGAGAAGAGCCAGCTCATGCTATAGTCCCTCCTGGAAATGGGCATGCAGGACAGCTGTTCTGTATGCCTCTGTTTTTGGGAGATGCTGTGCAGGGTTGGACCATGAAGGCCTGCAGCACCAGCCACCTCTCCTACCTGCTTTAGGGTTATCAAAGAACCCTACTGTAGGAGGAGTGTGTGAATGTGCTACAGCCTTTGCTGGTTTGGTTGGGCAGGAAGTGCACAGGGAAGCTGGTAGTTTTAGTTGGTTGAGAGCCACTGAGGTGTAAGTTGACCGCACTAGTGGTTCTCAACTGGGGAATGCCACCACATTCAGAAAAGTTGTGGAGGGAGGGGTGCTGTGATTCTCAAAAGAATGAAACCCACTGGTCCAAAGGGTTCATTTTCTTGTCTTATCTGGTTTTGCTGGAATACTTTTTGATGGTTCTTAGGATGTACATTGTGATATTTCACTTTATTCCAAGGGGCAGGAGGTTTTCAAATGGAGCATCTTTTCTTCAATCAGAAAGTTCTTCCTAATCCCCAATCTGACTACTAAGGGTCAAGCTTTGGAATAGGTTAGATAGATTGTGGATAGAGGTGCACTGCTATATTGACTGCTTATCAGCTCAGCACCAGTAAAAGAGAAATTTTCATTATTGGCTATTGGCTTTTTTTGGCTGTTGTAGCTGATAATGTTCTCCGATACTTATGCCTTCTGGCTGGGGCTCCCAGATGCCAGGGTTCCTCTTGCCTATGGGGCTCCCAGATGCCAGGGTTCTTCTTGCCTATGGGGCCGGTACCCCCAGAAGCCTGGGTTTTCTGTCACGAGCCAGGTTGACCTCAGATACAACACCCCCACTCCTCACCGGTGGGCTGGAGTGGAGCAGCTGCCATGGTGTCCTGGGTGCTGGCGTGCTGAGGTATGGGCTGCAGGCTGGGGCCAGGGCGGGAGCTGTAAAAGACGCTGAATGCCACAGATGTGACTGGGGTGGGCAGAGCTGAGCTCCACGGCCCAGCCCAGCATGACTTAACCGGCAATGCCCAGGGATCTGTTCCTCAGGGGCTGGGGACAGAGTTTGGCAGGGGTCAAGGCAGCTCCTCTCCCCTATTGTGTGCAGTAGAGTCCTTCTCCTGGCCCCTCAGCCCAGCTGGGTCCTGCCCTTCCCAGGACTGGGTCCATTTGGTCCCATGGTCCTGCCCTGGGCAGAGGGAAGAGAATGGGTAGCCTGGCCCAGAGACCAACCAGTCCTGGGCAGCCAGGCAGGCTCAGGCAGCTGCCCCCAAGCTGGGGTTGAAGGGCAGGGGCTGAAGAGCTCTGCACAACCTGTTGCAAGCACTGCTAGGCTAGTCCCACCTGCTGCAACTGGCACGGGCACTTTTACATGTGTTCCAGGAGTGGAGGGATGGCACTTTAGAGCTGCTCTAATTGAAGTGCCACTGTTTGTCTTATATCAGTGTCCCCATGCTTAAAAATGGAGTTAAATATACTAAATATAGGTTATCAGATTGGTATTGGCCAATATGGCTGGTTAATAATCAGCTATTGGTATTGTCCAAGAAAATCTTTATCAGTGCACCCCTAATTGTGGAATCTCTGTCCTTGGAAGTTTTCAAGAGCAGGTTACACAAACACTTAGCTGGGATGTCTAGTAAGGGACAATCCTGCCTTGAGCAGGCGGCTGTACTAGATAACCTCATGAGGCCCCTTCCAGCCCTCCTTTCCTATGATCCATAGTTCTGTTTATTTAAAAAGGTAAAAAAAGGGGGAAAAAATGTACTCACTGTCTTTATAAATAGGATCCATATATAGTAGCATTTTCAGTAAGGTTGAGATGGTATATACCAAGACAAATGAATAATTGAAACCATGCTGAAAAGAGTTCTTAAATAAAGCAGTTCACTTTAAACATGGTTGCAAGAAATTGGCTTTTATAAAATAACCAAGCTACTAAAATAATCACATTTTAAAAATAATTAACCTTTTAATGTAATAATAGAAAGACGAGTAACTCTTTGCCGGGCTGATGGAAACTTGGAGTTTAAAATTTGTTTGATAGCTATATTTAACATTTTAAAACCTCCACAATAACTCAGTGTTCCTAACATAAGTATACTTTAAAACTGGTTTTTAATTCTAAAGCCATTTCTCTCATACCTCTCTTTTCCAGATGGTATCATGGAAAACTTGACAGAACCATTGCAGAAGAACGTCTTAGGCAAGCAGGAAAGCCTGGTTGTTACCTTATTCGAGAGAGTGACCGAAGGCCAGGGTCGTTTGTGCTTTCATTCCTTAGTAAAACAAATGTGGTCAATCACTTTAGGTGAGTACTCGGTGTTGTTTTCCTTGAAAATTGGTAAGCGTAAGTGTTCTCTCCTTCTCCCAGCAGTGCCTGACAGACCTGGTTCTTTGCCACAGCCGAGGTCACTGCCCCCCTCCTCTCCCCAGTTGGTGATGTTACTTTTTGTGAGTAACCACCCTTCAGGGTGATGTCCAATTCCTGATAGTGTCAGCGGGCCTACAAGTGCACAGGGTGATGTCCAATTCCTGATAGTGTCAGCAGCCCTACAAGTGCCCCTCCCCAGCCTATATCAACTGGGCCAAAAGCAATATATTTCTTCTAGGCTGATGTTCATTCCCCAGACCTCCCTAAGGGCCTGTCTTGGTACTGTGATAGTTTCAAAGCCCTGGGCCTTTTCAAAACCTTGCTGACCTATCTAGCAAAGAACTCAGAAGGCTTTGGTGAGGGGGTTGACGCGCAGGTACAGCAGTGGTGCTGGTACTTGCCCACTCTCTCCTACTGTAGCTGGGCCCTGTTCATCAACAACCTAGCAGGTGCTACTCTGTGGCATCGTGGACCCACTGGTAACTCTGCTCAGAAGCCTCCAAAAGCTCCTTGTGGTACAAACAGGATTGCTGGTGGGTCCATGATCAGTTCCTATTGGGCCAGGCCAAGGTGGTGTCCCTGAATAGCCACAGAATCCAGCTCTCAGAGGCCGGCTCTGACAACTCTCTTCAACTCTTCCACTTCTTGGTCTGGATGCACAATGCATTCGAGTTTAGAGGCTTCATTTTGCAATAATGTGGACCAGTTTGTGTTGCATTAGGCCACCAAGGGGACATTCTGCAGGGTGGAAGATGGACAATCTTAAATGTGGAACCACATGAAGGGTGGAAGGTGGGGACGGTTAAAAGGGGGTTTCTGTCTCTGGTGATACTGCGTTTTTGTTGCTGACAAGCGTTTCACACTTGGCCCTTGGGGGTGCTGCATATTTATACTTTTTTTAAACCTTTATTATAAAAATGTATTAAAGTCAAAAAGCCTCCCTGGTGTACAGGTTCACTCGCTCATGCGTGTATGTGCTTTATCTTCCCCCTCCCCTTTATATTTGTTTTGAGTGTCTTATAGTATATAAAAGAAAACCTTAATGTATGTATTATAATTCATCTGAATGATCAGTTTTAAGTTGCTCTGAATATCTGTTTCTCAAGGTTGTATTTTGCTGTTGTTTACCTGCATTTACTTAATTACTTTAAAATAAATATACTACTTTAGAACACTCTTTTATATCTCTGTCTGCTGAACAAATTGAACAGAGAAGCTTGAGGAAACCTACAGAGCTTCAGAGTGAAAACTTGCTGACCGTTAATTCCTTTAAATTATTTTGAATAAGCTTACAACTAACTTTATGCAAGTCTCTTATTTCATAGATTTCATAGACATTAGGGCTGGAAGGGACCTCGGAAGATCATCGAGTCCAGCCCCCTGCCCAAAGGGCAGAAAGTCAGCCAGGTTCATAGGATCCCAGCAAGATGAGCATCCAGTTTGCTCTTGAAGGTGTTCAATGTGGGCGCTTGAACCACCTCTGGTGGCAGGCTGTTCCAGACCTTGGGGGCTCGGACAGTAAAGAAATTCTTCCTTATGTCCAGCCTGAAACGGTCTTGTAGTAGTTTATGACCATTCGACCTCGTCGTCATCCCTTGGGGCGCTCTGGTGAACAAACGTTCCCCCAGATACTGGTGGTAACCCCTGATAAACTTATAGGTGGCCATCAGATCACCCCTGAGCCTGCGCTTTTCCAGGCTAAAGAGCCCCAGGGCTCTCAGCCTGTCATCGTAGGGTCTGCTTCCCTGACCTCTGATCATGCGCGTGGCTCTTCCATGGACTCTCTCTAGCTTCTCCACACCCTTTTTGAATTGTGGAGCCCAAAACTGGACACAGTACTCCAGCTGCGGCCTCACTAAGGCCGAGTACAGGGGGAGAATGACGTCCCGGGATTTGCTTGAGAAGCATCTATGGATGAAAGCCAGCGTTTTGGTCGCTTTACTAGCCGCCGCATCGCATTGCAGGCTCATGTTCATCTTGTGGTCAACGATGACCCCCAAGTTACTACCTTATAAGCTAGATGTGAGAGTTGACAGTGGATAAATTATTCATTTACTTTGTTGAACAGTCAGAACAAGGCAGTGGAGATGCTAAAAGGGATTGAATGGTATTTAGTGATGGTGCAGAAAAGATAACAGAGCACTACTCAGCATGCTTATCTTGGGTTTGCATCAGTTTGGAAGGTGTTTCCTTCAGGGTACTGTATAATGGAGGACCCAAGGTGACAATTGGCCAGTTTCTCTAAGAGGTGATTATGGGAAACCAGGTCAAAGGCTTTTTTGAAGTCAAGATATATGACATCAATCTCTTCTCCCTTGTCCAGGTGATAGGTCACCTGGTCGTAGAAGGAAATGAGATTGGTCAAGCAAGACCTACCCGCAACAAACCCATGCTGGCTATTCCTTATGATGTTGGCGTCGGCCAGTCCATTAAGGATGGCCTCTTTGATAAACTTTTCTAAGATCTTCTCCGGGATAGAAGTCAGGCTAATGTGCCTATAGTTAGCCAGATCCACTTTCCATTTGTTAGATTCACTTTTAAGTGGATTAATTTGCATCTGTTCCCTGCCAAAAACTGCAGTTCAAAGGCCATAGTATATGGATGTCTGCATTTTATCCTTTGTGTTCAGGAAAAAAATGGAGAAGAATAGAGTTTTTAAAGTTTGTATGTATTTTAATAACTTCAGGAATTGCTGAAACCATTCAGTGCTTTTGTTGCTCTTAGTACAAATAATCTTTTGCCCATTCTCTTAAGTTGTCACTAATGTTAATTTAGTTATTCCCATGTGGTTTTAAGTTTAAGAAAGCTGCCTTTGGCATGGATGAGAATTTTTTCTCCATTCTCCTGGATCCCCATACAGTTATTCAGTCTTCACAAAAAAAAGGTATCTTTGGAATGGGATCTCTTCAGTCTAGCAGCTATCAAAGTGGCAAGAAAGGAATTCCACTGCAAATTATATAGGATACAACTGAACTTTAAACTTTGGGAAGTGACTTGGGCAAGTTCTAATCTGTCAAGTTTGAAGCAGCACCACAGCTGGATGTAACAGTCTTATGAGGAAAAATGCTTTTGGTTTTTTTAGGGTTCAAGTTGTTCAGGTCAAGCAGAAACAAGTACACAAGCAATGTATTTGATATTTAATCTAGAGCAGAAGAAGAAACCAATCCTTTTGGCAGGCATGCCACACTTGAGCCACACACCTTCCCTGAGTGCCACTCTGATATCCTTCCTTTGCTCAATGTATTGTTCAACTTTCTGCTTCCAGCCCTGTTCTTTTCGCTTGATTGTCTGCTTTGCTTCCTGCTTCCTTCCCTGTGTCCCTGCCCGATTTGTTACTTTGGTTTCTGGCTCTGCCCTATCTGTTGTGTGCCACACACACAAGCTACCTGTGCCACAGATTGGTCACCTCTATCAAAAGTTTGTCTAGTTCTCTTCAGATCCTGGTGCGCTGGGGTCTGTAAGAGTTGTAAGTCCTATGGATCCTTTATATTTACAGCCAGAGTTTTAAAGAGTGTGGTATCTAGAACTTCTTTCTTAGTTTGATCAGGCTCTTGGTAGCAAAAAGCCTTCTATATGGAGATTGTCAGTTCCTTGAAGACTTAGGAGTGATTTTAGTTTGATTTGTTGAGACCTGAGGAAGAGAATTCTTTAGACAAGGCAGTATTGAGAATGTAGTACAAAAATCTTTCAGCTTTTGAGTGCGCGTTGAGAATTTGGAAAACTGCACATCAGGGAGAGAAAGGACTGGTATTAATACTCTACATTATTTTCTTCTTGACTTCTTTCATGTCAATACAGTAAGACAGGGATTTCAAAATCGAGTGGCACTGTGGTCTGGATGAGAGGTGCGGAGCTTGTCTGTGGGCTGGACCAGGCACGTATGCCAGATCCAGCATGCAGGGCTGGTCTGGCGTGGACACCATGGCCAGGGACAGACATTACACACAAACCCGTTTAAATGATCAGAAACTGGTTTAAACCTGTAACAGAAAGACATACAGTGTACATAAACCAGTTTGAAAATGGCTGAACCAGTTTGACATAAACCTAGTTGAATGTAGTGTCAGACTTAATTGATTTGGCTCAAACTGGTTTATGCACTGTCTGTCCCAGACCCTTTGCTGGTTTGAGTTAAATTGGAGACCCCCAGCATGCTCTCTGGGCTGGGCTCTCTGCTCCTTTGCCCAAGCAGGGACTGGCAGGGGCAGGGGTCTGGCCAAAGAGGGGTTTAATTCCCCTCCCAGTGCCACCAGCAGGGACCTGAGCCTGGTCTGCCTGCACTCCCCCTTTGCTGTTACAGCAGGGGGGCACCATGGCCCCTGAGGCACAGAGGGGGGCAGGGAGCAGAGTTAGTTTCCCCTCTACTCTGGCAGTACTATTTGCCACCCACTGGCAGCCAGGTGGCTCCCTGCCCGGAATAGGCCTCTGGCTGTCCCCTGGCCAGAGGCCGGAGGAATAACCCTGCCCTTGCCTTCCTCCCTCCTCCCCCCCAGGGCCCTGCCTGGCTGTGCCCCCTCCCTGCCACTGTGGCGGGGAGGGGAGAGCCCTTCCTGGGGGCAGCAGCCCTTGTCACACTGTTGGGGAGAGCGAGCTCCTTCCCGGCAAGGGGCTGTGCTGTGGGCTTAGGCTGCACGCGGCAGTGCCGGGGTGTGGAGCGGGCCAGAGCCTTGTAAGCCGCTGCTGCGCTCCAAAGCCGCTCTTTCGGCCCCACAGCACAGCCCTGCTGGGAGCAAACCTAATTTGTTATACCAGTCCAAATCTGTTATAGCTAGCTTCCATATTTGTAAGATTTATTACTAACAGGAGAGTTAAACCTGAATCTTAAAGCCCAATTCTCTGGTGTCTTAAACTGCTTTCAGAGGTGCAATTGTACTAGATCAATTGCACCGATGTCAAGAGGAACTATACTGAAGGATAAACAAAGGGTAAATAGATCAATATTTGTTTCTTTCTTGGGTCTAACCCTTTCTGATTAGGATAACTGTACTCGTACAGTATCATATTGCTAGGGTATGTTCACCATGTTCATAATCACTGTTTTTCCTTCCTTTCTTTTTTTAAAGGTTGCCTTTTCCAGGCACATGCACACACAGATAGTACTGTGAAAGAATGTAAGCACTCCATGTATAATGTTGATATGAGAATTTAATCTATTTTGACACTGCAGCTACTTTTGATACCACTAGTTTTGCATTCATGGGCAGTTTAGCTAGCAAATAGCAAAAACTGAAAATTCTCTTGTATGGCAATCAGCATGTGCAGTACTTAAGAAACATCACTCCAATTTCCATTACAACATATACATAGTTAAGCTTTGACCTTCTTTCTTAATGTTTCACTTTATGGGGTTTAGGTTAAAATTTTAACACATTTAATTTAATCCCTTTAGTAATCAAAACGCATTAATTAGATTACATGTAAATAATAACAACCAATGGAAGCTTTATTAATGTTTAATAACTTTTTTTGTCAAAATGTTTAGGCATTTCTGGGAAGTTGCCTTTATCTTTTCATCCGTTAGCACACTCTAAATTAAATCAAAAGTCGTGTAAAACAGAAAATGGTTTGTTTTGACAGCTGTAATGTACTCTTGCCATTCACTAAAAATCTAATGGGCGAAATCATTTTAAGAAAGAAATGAGATGTTCTTTAGTCTTGGAGCTCTGCAGGTATGCAATCAACAATGTAGCTTTTCCATAATAATGAAATATTTAGACATTTCTGTGTCATAAATTTGTTAAATCAGCTTGTAATTCAGAGTTTTCATTTTATAGGAAGATATCCCATTAGATTATCAAATCTAGTTCTCAGATGTAAGCTTTCTCTCTCAAGAGCATTTTAGTTTGATATTTTGACTGTTTTGAATTGAAATGTTCCACATCTTAGAGCTCCTAATTCACTGCTTCTCAGAAAACTTTCTGATGTTTATCTTGATGTCTGCTTTTAATTCCATCACTTTCCTTTAGGTAATTACATCTGTTTTGAACATTTTTTAGTGTTAAATATTTTTAAAGTTATTTTGCTATGCCACCCACAAATCTTTAAATATAGTTCAGGTAAGATGTGTATACTTCTGTTTCAACATGTATTTTTTTTAGAAGTCTATTATGTTAGGTGTAAACTTGAAAATTATGTTTTCAAAAATGAATACAGCAGTTTTCTACTTTTATGTAAGCTATTTGTGTAGTTTTGTAGAAGATGTTTTTTTCTATTAAATCTTGTTTCTTTACCTAACAGGATTATTGCCATGTGTGGAGATTATTATATTGGTGGACGACGCTTTTCTTCACTCTCAGACCTCATAGGTTATTATAGTCATGTGTCTTGTTTGCTTAAGGGGGAAAAATTACTTTTTCCTGTAGCACCTCCAGAGGCAAGTAATAACTTTTAAAGGTTATAATTTTTTAATAACACTTATCTTTGTAGTGATACAAATTATTTTCTACTAGGAGGGAAACATTGTTGTAGTCAGTCTCCTAACTTTATGGTAACATTTTCACTATATAGCAAATTATAAGGACCAGTAAGATAGATGCTCTTTTTATGAAAAAAGCTTGTAGATCTTAAGTGTTTTTTTTTCTCTTAATTACAACATAAGGTACTGTGGCTATCTCTAAACACTAGATAAAGAAGAAATAAGAGAATTTATATATATATATATATATATATATATAGCCAGAAAGAGGTAAGACAGCCCATTATAGAATAGTAAAATTAATATGAAAATTTAGAGAAAATGGAATAGAATTGCTCCATGATACCTAGCAGAGTGTTCATATAATCTAGTTTAAATGTAAAAAACTGAGTTTCTGAAAATTTAAGCTCCTTCTGAAGTTTCTCTGGAACCATCAAAAGAGGGTTCCAGAAAAAGGCACCCAAAATCAATGTTCGGTTTTGAAAATGTCATGAATAGAAATCTCAAAGTGGAGTGGGAAGTCTTACCTATGCAGATGTATTTGAAGGGCATAGACTAAGCTTGTCTTTTCATGGGATTTGCCTTTATTGGTAACTTAAGCGTAGACCCCATAATTATCAGTGTAAATTAATTAAAACGTCAGGATTCTAATATAATAAATATCTAGTTAGAAACTAGGGCTAAAATCAAATGACAGTCTTTAGCTAATCGTGTACATCATCCATTTCTATCTCTTATCATTCTTGAGTTACAGAAACTTAAAACAGTAAGGGGTAAATGACACAATTTTAACAGTCCTATACCTCAGGCTGGCTTAATGTTGGAGGCCATTGGAGAGAGAGATAATTACATCTTTTTTTCCCCCTCTTCCTCTAAATTATAGCCAGTGGAAGACAGAAGGAGAGTTCGAGCCATTCTGCCGTACACTAAAGTGCCAGACACAGATGAAATAAGGTATGCTTTATTAATGGGTAAAAGCATTTGAGTTACCCCTAGATTATTATAAATACTAACAAGTAGTTTTAATATAGCTTTTAATAACTAGACAGTTTTCATTTATATGCGACTTTTCCTGCAAGTCAAAATATTAGGGTTTATTTATCAAATGTAAAGATAATAGTATTAAATTTGGGGTTCTTAATGATTAATGCTAACCATGAAGGCATATATAATTATAAGGGGGAGCTGTTTGTTTTAGTCCTCTTGAAATTCATTGTAACCTAATGAAACCATTTAACTTTGAAGGCAAATTTCTTCAAGCTTGAGAGTTGTCCCATAGGTAGATGGGGATGTCTGGGTATAGGTGTGATAAGTTTGACAAAAATGTTTTTGTTTTTTGGGTGGGCAGGAAGGTGAGGACGGTAAGGGCAGTGTGTTAGTGGATGAAATAAGTGAAGAATAATTTTGTTCAAGGTAATGGGAAGTTGAAATAACCACAGAATGGATTGTGACGTTGTAGAAAATTGTTTTTTATGAGAGTCCCTCATTGAGGCATTGGAGTCAGTAGCTAACTATGATTCTTATTTTCAGAAAGCAAGTATGCCAATTCTGACTGCTCAATGGAGATAGTGATCTGTCTGCGGCACCACAAACCTCACATCCAGGCATTTCCTGAGCTGCTACCTTTGCAGTGTGTGTGGGGGCTGACCCAGGAAATCCTGGGGTCAAAAAAAACCTGCGTGGAAAAAAAGGCGGAGCAGCACGCTTGGCAGCATTGTGCTGCTCAAAACTGGAGTCTGACTGGCCAGAGCCATGCTTGGGCTCCTGGCCAGGCTTCCTGACATGGCTGCAGCCCTGGGAGGCCCCCAGGACCCCAGATAAGGCTGCTGGGACTAGCATAGTTGCTGGCCCCAGCCTCCCCTACCTACCTGGAGTAACCTGCTGCACATGCCAGAGCAGGTGACATGGGCATTCCCTGGGGACAAGTAGCAGTGGCACAGGGTGGGCTGCTGCTACTCATCCGTGAGGAAACGAACATTTGCACTCGTCTGGATGTGTCCAATGAGATGATTGAGTCATCATATCAAATATGGTCCCTTAGATAAATTTAAGATTGCATTTTTGGGTCCTTCCTTAAAATAAGAGACGTTGTTGACAGGATTTATGAGGAGATGACACGATCCAGGACTGTTTTATCACTGCTGTATAGAAATGTGGTGACTTTTGTCCCTTGTTGGCGTCTCAGGAGAATCCTGGAAATTTAAACGGGGAATGTGGTTGGGAGTAAGAAAAAAGCATGACCTTAAATAAAATGGAGAGTGTAACCAGCCCATTTCCTTAACTTCTGGAACTTTCTAATATATTTATTTATAGAGTCACTTGTTTTGTTTTAGATGATTTTCAGTTAGAAAAAACAGGAAAAAATTGTTCAGTGCTACAGTGTTTGGTCTAAAGATAGACAAGTAGGCAGTTTAGCAGGGACAGGGAACAACCATTGAATTAGCTGTAGAAAGAAAATGCAACAGATAGTCCAGAAGGGAGGAATATATGCTGTTTGCCTAGTTTCATGGTACTTTTTTTTTTTTTTTTTTTTTTTAATGTTGCTGCTTTCCAAAATAAAAATGGGAAGGATCTACAAGTTTGTTGTCTAGGCTTGATTATTTCAAAGTCATAGGCAGGGACTTTTGGAGGAGTGACAACTGTACCAAGATGAGACTGTTGATAGTAATACTGCCTCTGATACCTAGAGTAAATGGTACGAGAACTGGAGTTAAAATAATCTTTCAAGTTTCCAGTGCAGTTTCCCATATCTGGTTTAACACACACAGGGCACGTTATGAGAATCTTTTTATTCTTTGAGAGAAATTTAATTTTCTTAGCCAGATTGATAGGAGGAGGCAGAAAAGAAGAAAATTTAGTAGTGTTGCAAATAAAGCCTTGTATGTCAGGTAAAGGAGGATAGAAAAAGTCATGGGTTAATGTGGGGACCTTAATTGCTATATATAATTTACATGGGATGTACTAATGAATCTATTTGGACACCACACTAGAGAAAGCTAAAGACACTTTCTTTTGCACAGTGGCAGTTCTTATTTCCTTTAATGTACTCCAAGTTGGCAGAAGTCTTATGGTTGAAGAGGCCTTGTAAAGACCAAGTCCTAGTAGTTTTTAATATTTTAGGATATCTCCAGCGTGGAACTAGCCTATTAAATCTGGTGCCTTGTCTGCCCTAGACTTTGAAGAGCTGCTTACAAAATAGCTGTTTCTAACATAACTGGCATTAAAGTTCTTGGAATTCTCCAGTTTGAAAGTCTGAAGCTGAAAATGTGCGTGATCCAAGTGCAAAATTAAAAGGATATACTTGTAATAGAGACTAAGTATAATAGAGACTAAGTATAATGATGCATCTCATCAATCTGTTATTCTTAGATGGCATAAATGTAACCTTTTAAAATATTTATACTTAGATTTGGAAGAGTTTTTTTAGGTATATACCTATTGGATAAACCTAAGCACTGCATACAGTTAATGTTTACTATGCCCTTGGTAAGGGGGCTTAAGGAAGTACAGTCGCCTTCCTGATTCAGAGTGTGTATATAGTCCAGAAGTTTACCTCCTTTCTGGCATGTTTCCTGTGCAAAAACTGAGAAATTTCTAGTGTCATACATGTCCCCCCTCTTCCAAAAATTTCAGCTGGCCTATTAAAGGTGTTTGAAAATTTAGGTACACACAAATCTAGTGAGAAGTATGCAACAGGCACTTATACCATAACATGTGTGATATAAAGGCTGGAATGATAGCAAATATAATCTATTTTTTCATGCTCAAGTCGTTTTAAAAAAATTGTTTAAATGATGTTCAGTAACTCTTCTTGATAGCAGTTCTGGTTTAATCATACTGTAACTCTCTTTAGTTTCCTTAAAGGAGACATGTTTATTGTCCACAATGAACTGGAAGACGGCTGGATGTGGGTTACAAACCTACGGACAGATGAACAAGGCCTTATTGTAGAGGACCTAGTGGAAGAAGTGGTAAGTTTAATTTAAAATACATAAATTTGTCCCTAAATATGGGTTCCCTAAGCACATAAATAATCAAGAAAGAAATGCAAAACTCTAGAACTTTTGGTTCAGAGATGATACCTTTTATTGGACCAACTAAGAAATTGCAAAAAAACCCATCTTTTTCTGCTAATACACCCCTAAATAACCAAGGGGCATAGTATTTATTCTGCCAGACTTTAGATTTTGTTTTAAATTGTAATAACTCATTCTTGATGCATCAAAATATAGCTTCTCTTTGAGTCTAGTTTCTGCCAAATTGTCTCTTGGCAAACAAGTTAATTCTGTCTGTCTGTCTGTCTGTCGGTCGATACTGTGGTACCAAATCTCTCTCTTTCCCCCTTCCCCTTCTGCCCCCTCCCTCCTTCCTTCTCTTTTTCAATATATATTCATATTCTTTTTCAATATATATATATGTGCCTGGCATTGTGAATGTGTTCATAGACAGTTCTCTAAACTCAGGCAGTCCAAGCAATAGAAGAGCATCTGTCAGTCATTTTTATTTTATTGTGGTGGTATTTGGTACCACAGTACTGCTCCTTTTGAAAGATGCAAGCTTATCAAGTGTTTAAAAAGCGTCAGTTTTCCCCCTGCTCCGAACTCCAGTTTGGGACAGTTTGCCAAGGGAGTATTTCAAATGGAGAGTGAATTGCCATTTTCTAATTAAACACCAGCCTATCCTAGCCTTAGCATTAGTTAGGGCTCTGAAGTTGACTTGAAGGGACCAGCTGCCAATGGAGAATTGTCTAACTGAAACTCCCTTGGACTACTGTCAGCTTGGCCTCGTTACTAAGGGTGTACCAATAGAGATTTTTTGGGCTCATGGCCGATTTTTAGCAAGCTGTATTGGCCAATACTGATCCAATTCTGATATGCAGCCGGACAGCATGGAGAGCAGCATTTGGCTGGTAAGTCTGTTGTGAGGGGAGAAAAGGGGCATGGGGGGGTGCAGATAGAGGCCCCCACAGTGAGGGAGGAAATGTGCAGTGCCTGCCCCAGCCCCAACTAGGGTGGTGTGTGGGACCGGGGTGGCTCCTGCTGCTGCACACACACTGGGAGGGCATGGGGGTCATGTGCCCCCAGATCTGTGTGCGGGGTGAGGGCGGGCTGCCACTGCAGGCTGGGACCGGGCTCCTGTCTGGGGGGCCTGGGCCAGGCTGTGATCAGGGCAGGCAGGAGCAGCGCTGGGAGAGGGCTACTGGGGGGACTGCAGCCACCCCAAATTCGCAGTAGCCCAGCCCAGCAACGCCCCTGGCTTCAGCTCACAACGGCTATCCACCCTCACCCCATTTGCAGACCCAGGACTGTGTGCCCCCCCCTCCCATGCCCTCCCAGGGGGTGTACAGCTGTGGGAGCCGCCCCCTCTCTCCCCCGGCTCCCCAGACAAGCCGCTTACAGCTCCGTCCTGTGCCCTGCCCCTGGCTATGCAGCACCTGCCCCAGCACCACTCCCTCCTTTACCACAGGGGCCTTGATCTGGTTTCCTCCCCCTCAGTCCCTTCACTCACAACAGACTTCCCAGCTGGACCCCACTGCTTACCATGCTGCTGTGCTGTGCTCTTCGCCACCTGCATGTTGCACTGTGGCTGTGTGCATGCATAGGGCGTTTATTGGCCACATTATCGGCCACACCAGCCAAAAAAAGCCAATTGCCAATACTGTCACTTTTCCTTATATCAGTGCCAATCTGATATGGGACCAATGCATCGGTTTACCTCTAGTTACGTAACTTCTCTCTTTTGTCTATCTCATTTGTCAGTAGTAAGGGTAATTTTACTGTCCTGCCAGCTTGACGCTACTCAGCAGCTGAGTGGCACCAAGCATATTGATTGTATTGAAAATTCTGGGCTGTGGACTTTTGCTTCAAGGTCAGCAGTTCAGATAGATCTCAGATAAGTAGGTTTTTTTGGTTATGTGCTGTTGCTTAATTTCCAGTTGCTAGTTAGCAGATATCTACTTTGCCAAAACTAACTGCCCTACCTTCAACATCAGGAATTGGTGTCAGCGGGTGTCCAGAACATGGGCATGGATACTGAACGGTGTTCTCCTTGTTAAGAGAGTTAAATAAGTCTTACATTTGTAGTCTGATGGGGGAAAAACGTGTGATGCTTCTGCTATTGTTTTTGTTCTGGATTTTTCCCCCCTGTGGCTAAATATATTTCAGTCTACAGAACTGTCAGTCTGGCAATATTTTGCAAGTATTATATCAATGCAAATAAGTAATTGATAAGGACAATTAATTTCTCATGTATAATTTTTGTGGAGTACCTTTTTGTAATATTAATGCAAAGGATGAAAAGTTTGTTGCAGCCTCCTATTGTGATTTATTTAAGTGACGGCGCATATAATCTGACCTGAGGAAGCTGATAGCCTGCATTGTGCTAGCCCAGCCATGTCTCCACTGCTTGCATCATCTCTTGTTCTCCCAAGGTAGATGCAATACATATACTATGATTTTTAATATAGTTGATGCAGCACATTTAATTTTTAGGAGACTGTTTTAGAGTGAAGACACAGTCTGCCAGAAGGAAACCATTGTATAGATGTGAGACAGTGGCAGATGGTGGAACTGTGCTAGGGTGACTTTATGCAGTGGACTGTTGCAAAATCTGCTTAGTGTGAGTTTACCACTTTTACAGAAGATGTCTGCACTGGTTTAAATCTACCAGTGTAGCTAAACTAATCCAAATTTATTTTATAAAGCAAAACTCTTTAATAAACACAACAATAAATTTCCTCTGATTATAAGAAATGTTGCCCTATCTTCTTTTTTTCTTAAGTTTAGCCATACCCTTTTGCTGTCTCTATGTATCAGATGGTCAGTTTTCTTCCTAGAGCTGTGTAATAGCCATGTTAGCTGAAGAAGGGTCAATTTCAAAGTACTGTAATTCTTAAAGCATTTTTCATCCATACAGATAATCTAAATTTAGAAAATAGACTGCATGACAGTGATTACATGAGTCGTTACATCATGAACTTAGTGTGTGAATTCTCTTATTAGGGACGAGAAGAAGACCCGCATGAAGGCAAAATGTAAGCATTTTAATTTTATTCTTAAATATATATTGTAGAATGACTAATTTGAAACTTCAGTCTTGAAGCAGCCTGCCTTTTGGAAAGCCAAATCTAATAGTTCTTTCTGGATTTAAGATTTTTTGTATATTCTTTGCTAAGGATGACATTCTCTGTAAAGAAGTTTTGTGTCTTTAAATGGCACTTACACTTCTTATTAGTTCGTGTTATGGTGGATGAACCTGTATGAGCCCTGTGGAGATGGGTGAAAATCACTCCAAAAACTCATTAGGGATTATCATTTGAACATAGAAGTTGACATACTAGAGCAAATCTTTTACTTAAATCCCCTTCAAATTCTTTTGGTCTTGGAAAGAGAACAATTTCCATCACTAGAAAAATATGGTTTTGAATTTTCTAGTCTGGTACTTTAATTGCATTTGAGTAGGGTTAGTTTCTTAGTTAGTTTCTTGTGATGACGATTAGCATTATAGCAATTGGGTTTCTTTTTTAAATTACTTGTTCATTTAACAGTTATAGGTAAAAATCAAAAAAGTCAAGTAATCTATTTTTATCAAGAATCTTAAACCTATTGTGGCAAAAATTGTGTATTCTGTCATACAAAGAACCACTCGGAGAGGGACAACTAAATTTTGCAGCAACATTTTCAAATACTTAGTTCCTTTGATTAGCTTCGGGATCATTTGTCACTATTGCAGTTGCTGTGGCCTGGAGCATCACCAGATTTAATATTTGAAAGGCTAATGCTTAAAGGCATTTCTAGTTGTCTTAGGAGACGAGAAGGAATTGCTGTGGTGGGGTTGTAGCTGTTTGAACTCTGCTGGCAGTTCTTTTAGCCATTTTGTCTTTAATGCCTCAGTACTTTCAGGGGTGTAGGTTGTAGTTTCAGCATCTTTATTTATAGAGATAATCCCATTCACCTATACCGTTCATGGAAGGTGCCTCTAGCCTTGCCACCTTCAGGTCACACATCTGATGCTCATGTTGTCTATAGGTTTCTTTTGAAAAGGATTCCAGTAACAAGAGGCTGTCCATTTAAAAGATGACCTGGAAAGGAAAATACCAATAAAGTTTATTTTATTTTTATCAAACTCTCTTTAGAGAGAGAACAAATATACAAGAATTGTTTTTATTAGCATTAGGGACCTTGTCTATGCACAGACAAATTTTTCCGCCTCCTTACGAGTGCTAGAAACGCTGTACGCGTAGAAAAGGGTAGGTTTTGAGAACCTACCCTTGTTTGACCCACAAAAAGTCAGTACCCTTCTCCATGTGGGTTTTCTGTATACCCACATGATGTCAGTTTCAGAACTCTGGATAAAGGCACTTGGATTTGTTGTGATGCTGTTTTGCCATACACAGGGCTGTACAGATTAGGTAGCAATTATGGAATTGTTCTGAAGTTCTTATGTAGCTTGCTTCATGATGCTTTCTCTAACTTTTGGGGAAAATCACAATGCCAATTCAGCCATGGACCAGTCCACTTCCATGCATCTTATTACAAATTTTTAGTTTCACTTGCATGTAACTTTAGATGTTTAAGTATTATCAAAGAGCTGTATCATTGAGTAGCATACTTTTGTGGGTGACTTGATCTATTTAGGTCTTTAAATAGAGATTAATTCATAGCAGCAATCATCACAGAAACAAAAAAGAGCTCCAACAATCTTGCTTATTACACTCTTTTTTTCTTAAGATGGTTCCATGGGAAGATCTCCAAACAAGAAGCTTACAGTTTGCTGATGACAGGTACTTGTCTTTATTGATGGGGTTAGGATTTTAAGGTGTTTGGAGTAGGGTTATCTGTGAACAGCATTCAGCAGAAGGAACTCAAGATCCTGACTAGGGACTTTGGTGGCTGGTACAATAAATGCATGTTAAATGATCTAAATATTAGGATTGCTATTTATTAATATTTTAAAACAGTTACGCTGTCAGATGCTGTTGATTTTATACTTTCAGTGTGACTGTGAATCAGTATTCTTGCTAATTAATACATTTGATAATTGCTTAAGAAAAGCAATTACTGAGTAACTCAAATAATGGGGAAAAGAGCTATTGTTTTCCAAATTGAGAGAATTATTTAAACATTTTAGTATTTCTCTTTTAGATGACAATTGTTACATTTCTTTTGAACTTAAAACATCAAGCTTTCTGATGCACTTAATGGAGGAATATAAAAACAATAAAATACATTTTCAAGTAATATTTACCAGTATTTGAATATTCTTTTCAGTTGGCCAAGTGTGCAGTTTTCTTTTGAGGCCTTCAGATAATACACCTGGTGATTATTCACTTTATTTTCGGACCAATGAAAATATTCAGCGTTTCAAAATTTGCCCAACTCCAAACAATCAGTTTATGATGGGAGGCAGATACTATAACAGGTAAGTTGTGGACAGTTATTAACACTTCATATGTTGTGTGTGTGTGTGTATATATATATATGTGTGTGTATATGTATATATATATGTGTGTGTATATGTATATATATAGGAAAAAACCTAAATTTAATCTGTCATTTGATTATATACTAGTAGGCTTCTAACAATATGCAAAAAATAATTTTAAGAATTTAATCTTAATTCTCTAATGGGTATGTGAAAGGAGTGAACAGTTCTAAAAATGTTTTTAACCCTTAACAAAACACAGTTGTTTGTTCTAAATATCTGACCCTTTCTTTCATAAACTAGTTTCTTGAGATTACAGATTGTGGATCATGCATGATTTAAAATTTAAGAAGAGTCTGTTGGAACAGTTGGAACAGAGGTTCTCATACCTATTGACCAGATTTATCTTTCCTTTCTATAATGTCTTTGGAGAAAAAAAATACATTACTAACAGAAGTGGAGTGTTTCATAAAAATAAGAAAACAACTTCATGGTAACAACAACTTGCTCATATTCAACTATATTCAGTCAAGAAGGGCAAATCAGAGTGAGGTAACTTAAAGTGAATCTGTTTTTGCTGTTTGTTTGAACAGGAGAGTGGTAATATATTCTGTACAAAAAACAAGAAGATGGTAAAATATCTATATTCTCCTTTCATGATGATGCTCTGACCTGTGCCTTTCCCCATATAAATGCATCTGATTTTCAGGGTCCAAAAAGTCACAAGAATGTTAGGATTTCTGTATTTCAGCACCTATTTTTTTTTCTTTTTTAGTGGTGACTAGCTTAGATCCTTCTTCCAATGGAGAGTTCTAGAGCCCATAGACTGAGGTATTTGCCAGATTCAGAACCAAGGCATTCTTCTTCATCCCAACCTAGAATTTCTTTCCCTTCCAGCTTGGCTTCTGAATCGGTAGAGATCCAGCAGCTTCTGTGTCTAAGCAAGTATGAAGTTTTCCTAGCTGAAAAGTTCAGTGGATGGTCATATGATTTCAAATGGAAGATGGTATAAGGCTAAGCAGTTGGATCCTTTTGCATATCCCATACTTGAATATCTTCTACATGAGTCAGTCTGGCATTCAGACATCCTTTGTGAAAATCAAGCTAGCTACAATTTCAGCCTTTCATGAAGGTAACGAGGCATGCTTTTGGCCGTTTTGAAGCATTCCGTAAGTGAGGCTGCTTATCTGCACAGTGTTGAAGTGCCACAAATTTGAACAACTCTGGAATTTGGAGCACTTCAAATGTACATCTGTCTATGGCCTTAATATGGAGAAGAGAAGACTTGAGGGGTGATTTATTAACACTTATAGGATTGTTCTAAAAAGGTTGTTGATCGGATATTCTCTGTGTTCAGGATAGGATAAGAAGTAACAGTCTTAAATTACACCAAGGAAATTTAGATTGGATTTTAGGAAGATCTTTCCAGCTAGGAGAGTGTTTAAGCACTGGAACAGATTACTTGGAGAGATTGTGGAATCTCCATTGCTGGAAGTATTTAATTGCAGGTTGGACAAACCCATGTCTGGGATGATCTGCCCTGAGCAGGAATATTAGACTAGGTGCTTGTCTAAAGTTCCTTCCAGTCATATTTTTCTATGATACTATAAAAATAGAAATGGAGGAGACTAGAAACAAACCATAGTGAGGAGAATTTATCAAATTAGGCCTTGAGATTTGGTACAGTTCATTACTTAGTGAAGTGGGAGCCAACTTTTTTGGGAGGCATGCCATACATTAAACCTGATGCCCTCCCTGAGCACCACTTGGATCCCCTTCCCCTGCCTGATCTGCTGCTTTGCCTTCTGCCTCCTGCCCAATGCTTGCTACCTGCTTTGCACCCGCACTCCCTATCTGCCACATACTGTACACGGAGGCTGCCCATCCCACTTGTGGCATGGGCATCTCGGGTTGACTTATGGAATAATGAGAGAGTACCTTTGTGCTCTTAGCCCTACTCCCTACCAAAATAAAACTGCTCTGTCTCCACGTTTTAAGCAGATGCCTGTTCGCTGCATTTTTAACTGAGACACAAGGAGCGGTGACACTTGAATAACAGTTTACTATTAAATTATGGTTGGAAACAGTTTATTTTTATTTGGTCTGATGGATTAATAATGTTATTTGATAGAAGGGTATTAAGTCTGTAGTTCCAATTTAATAACTGAACTGTTTCTTGTAAAATACTGGCTCTACAAGTATCAGGTTGGGTTGAGTAGTCCTTTTTTGGTGCTGATCCATTGCAGAAGACTTCTTTATCCCATGGTACAAATAGCAATCTAACATTAAAATTTATCAGGTATACTTCAATCTTTGGTGTGGTCAGCAGGTCTTCGACATCACTTTTTTTAGCACTCTCTATTTTGTGCATTTTGGTTAATTTTTATCAGTTAATTACTGATTTAATTCTGTGAGCTTAACTAGTATTTTTTTCCAATAAATTCAGGTATCAGTAACATGCTAATCTGATTCCAGCTGGAGAAGCAGCTTTCATAAGAGAAAATAGATGGTACGACATAATTTAGCAGTACTAGGGCAGAGAAGGGCAGGGTTCTTTGAAGACCATGGCAGGTGGTGGGGGGAGCTTTAATCCATGCTAAGTAATCTGATGGGAATCTCTAAGTATGAAGTATATTGCATAATTTGTTCCATTAATTCTTGAATTATTAAACATTCTATATTAAATGAAGACACTAAAGGCCATATCCTACTTCAGCTATTAGGTGACAAAGTACAGTCTTATTCCATGATTCTTAAGTCTGTAAAAAATCATTAATCCATCTATTTTGTTATATGCTTTGCCTTAAAACTGTCACAAAAAGCAGCAAAGAGGAGGTGGTTCCATCCACCTTTTGCATTAGCAGTTTTTCAGGGACCAGAGCAAGGTGGTGTAGACTCGCACTTAGTGGGTGCATCTACACATGTAATTTACTGTGGAGCAGACTAATTAGTAAAGCATCACAGTAAAGCGTCGCAGTCTACACGTGTACCAGTATTCGGGCTTAGTAAATTAACTCAGTCATAAGATAGTGTGGTCTGGGACAGTACTATCTTACAGCAGAGTAATTATGTGCGATCAAATGCACATTTAGATGGTGACAGGGTGGCTGGGGCATGAGGGTGCTAAAATGGTGGGGGGGGGTCTGCCTTCCACTTATTCCAATATTCTGTTACCCTCACTCTCATTATAGTAGTTGAATTCAGCAGAAATTATGTATAGTTACAGCTGAGAAACTGATTATAATGTATAGCTTGTTTGACTGGTGTATTTTCACACTTCTGTATTAAGTGAGCAAATATATTGTCTTTCCTACTTAAATTATAGTTTTTATTTTCAGGTTGTGTATAATAAAAGAATTAGTTAAGGATCATTATATACTGTTCATATTCCAATGTAAATTAAGTACCTTTTGATGGTAATTCTACAGAAATAAGTGGAAGGAACTCCAAAGGAATGCCCTTTAGTTTGTATATATTGCCACTTCTCAATCCTAGGTACTTCAAAATGTAATTTCAGTTTAGCTCCATCTAGTAATTGGAATGCAGCCTTTCCTTGTTGAAGAGTTCTAGTGATAGAGTATTTAATTTAATATGATAGCTCAGTGACTTCTAACTATAATCTGCATAATCTGCGTTACAGACGTCTTCTATTTCCTATTCCCACCCTCCTAAAAAGAAATTGCTTTGCACAGTGAAGTGTCTCCCATTCCTCTTCCCTTGTTATGGTGAGACTTGGAAAATTATTGCTAATAAAATAATTTGCAGCCTGGCTGGAGAGCTGGGAATGTACTTGCCCTTACTTGAATATAAAAAATTCTGTCCTCAATGTCCATATCATTTAGCATTTTGAGCATCTCACTAAACTCACTAAAAATATTTTAGAATGCATACGTTCTTTATTATTGATATATTTTAAATTTATGCTGACTTGTAGTTTGTTATTGAATTCTAATGAATACAAATGAATTCTTATCCTTAGCATTTTATACAAATATTTCTTTATAAATGTAATGTCTAATATTACCGTATTTTCTTCTATATAACATGTCCCCTAAATATCATATGCCCCCACTTTTTGAAAGGCAGAATCAAGGAAAAATACTTTTCCCAGTTATGGCTGCATAGAGCAGAGTCAGAACATAACCTTCAGTTGATTCAATCACCCTTTCCTGCATAAGTAAAGCTGAGTTCCTGCCTGCTGGGGCTTTGATTTTGAAAAGAGCTAACGAGGTGGAGCTAATGAAGCTATGAAATAGAGACCAGGAACAGTTAGCAGACAGCAAAACTCCCCTAAAAACATTCGTTTGATTAGTGGGACATCAAGACCATTAAAAAAGAGAGAGAGCCTTAACACCTGTAGAGTAAAGATCAATGAGCTATTAAGTCAATCTTCCTCCACTTCGTGAACAGTAATATCACAGCTCCTGTACAGTGGAGCGGGACTCAAATTTGGGTGTTCTCAAACTTGGACAGAAAATCAGCTGCTTTGCATAATAAATGTACTCCAGTTTGGCTGGTGGGAGAGAGGGGCTGATTTTGGGGGAAAAGGTGTGTGTTGTGTGTGAGAAAATATGGTATTCCATGTTGGAGTGAGGGAGAAACCCCTTATTCAGATTTAAAAAAAAATTTTTTTAATTTGCACAGTATTGCTGACATCATTGAACACTACAGAAAAGAACAGATTGTTGAAGGATATTACCTTAAAGACCCTGTCCCGATGCAGGTGAGACCTTTTATGCTCTGAAGAACATGTATGTTTAAAGACTTCATTTGATATCAAATAGAATTATAATTTACTTGGAATATTTATTTCAAATGGCAAAGGCAATAAATAGTAAAGTCCTAGTAAAGAGAGAATGAATATTTTCTCTGATACTATTTACTGCCAGACATCCAAAACAGCTATGCCAAAAGGAGGAAAAAACCCAAACACGGGATATTTTCACTGCTTTTTTTTTCCCTCTACTGTTCTAGCCTCATTTCTTATCAGTGAATTTATATTTGTTCCTTTGTTCCACTGCATGAGATACTGGACTGTATAGGGCTTTCTCATCATCCTTACTTCATAATAACTGATATGCTTGGTATTTTTTTGCCCTCATTTCTCTAGTTAAAGACATTTTTTTTTTTATTTGTCTATTTTTGTCTGATTTGTCTGTATCAATGGTATAAACCCATTTGCTCTTTTGTCAGTCTTTATTAAGTTGTTGTATTTGCCCAAATCCAAGATGGCTTTGAATTTGACCTCCCTCCCCAAATTAGATTCTGCTCATTGAAAACTATAAATCTGTTATCATTTTCCATGTATAGAATTTAATTATTGGAGGATCATTTTAAATGTGTGCTCCTCACCATGGTGGTGGGAAAAAGCAGACCCCCATACCTTTCACTTGCTGCTCCCCCACCCCACCTGTCTCTTCACTTACCCCAGATCTGTCACTGCTACTAGAGCCACCGTGTGCTCTGTGCCCTTGACCAGAGCCAGGGCTGCCTTACAGGGTAAGTGGGGGTGGGGAGGAGTCAGGCAGCAGCCATCTGCCCTAGGCTGGTATTTGAATCTAAGATGGGGTTTCTTTCCCCTCATGTTTAATGAGGGAAAAACCTCCATCTTCGATGTGAGTAAATATGGTAATTCTCCCTTTCTTTTGGTTTGGTCTCCTTTATATATTTTTTGAAATTAGGCATTCCAGTTTTTGGCCTTCATTGAGCTAAGCTAAAGAACACAAGTTCTTTTAGTATTATTTTAAAGTAGCCCTTCTGTTCATCTGTTGCAATTTGAATTCATCTGTCTTCAACATAAGCAACCAGAATATAGTCGCTGAAAGTAGTAGTAGTAGTCATTGGCAGTGGTGGTGCTGTTCAAGGCACTGGTAAGGCCTCACCTAGAATACTGTGTAGAATTCTGGACTCTCATGTTCAAGACAAATGAATTCAAATGCATTCTATTAGTAGTAATAATGATATTTATATTTTTATTTACCCTATTCGGAAAGGTTTGGGGCTTGCCTGTAATATTTTCCTATAACTAATGGAAATACCATATTTGATTCATGCTGGAATAAATTTTGCCTTCTTATGACTGTTGCATTGGATAATGGGATCATAGGTCATCTAGTCCAGCCTCTGGCTCAAGGCAGAATCACCCCTGACTAAACTGCCTCAGCCAAGTTACTTAACCTGCTCTTGAAAAACTTCTAAGGATGAAGATTCTAGAGTTACTCTAGATAGCCTCTTTCAATACTTGACTGCTCTCATACTCAACGTTCTTCCTAATCTCCAACCTAAATTAACCCTGCTTCAGTTTGAGCATGTTGCTTCTAGTCCTAGTAGCTCATAGTCCACTTCCTAGTCTATTGGTAACTTCTGGTGATTAATATACACTGGTGTTGATTCTCTGCTGTTTCTAGCTCATCACAAAAATTTTTATTAGTCCCTTTGTCGATAACCTGGTTCTCCATTTTATTAAAATTTGTCTTTATTATTCCAATTTTCTAGGTCATCCGGTATGATATTCTAATGCTGCTTGTGTTTCCCACTTTGTTGCATGCAGATTTCATTTGTTCGTTCTTATTTTTATGCCAAGACCATTAATGAAAATATTTAACAAGGTTAGTCATAAGATCAGCCCTTAGAAATTTCCACAAATAATCTGCCCCCTGCCTGATAGTGTGCCCTCAGAGTAGTCTATGATTGTCTCCCAATTAGTTAGTTCCTTGCCCATATTATAATTTTTGCACTAATCCCCATATTCTCCATTTTAGCCAACATTTTCCTATTGGATTTACTAAACATAGACTAACCTGCCACATTTCCAATGTCTAAGCAAATTGCATCAGAGAAATACTGTATGTTAATATAGCACAATCTGCCTTCAGTAAAGTAGTTTTTAATCCCATTTTTAATTATCTCCATCTTTATTATTCTTCTCTTCAAAATTTATTATAATACCGTACATACTGTTGACATCAGAGTAATGGGCCTATAGTTGGCAAGTCAACTTTTTCCCTTCCTTTAAATATAAGTACTGTATTTTTTTATGTTTTTCACTGCTACAATATTGACTCTAACTTGACTTTTTTTTTTCTTACCATACCTCTGATTGTCATGTGTCCAGTTTATTCCAAAATTTGGAAAGGAGAATTCCTGATCTTTCTGAGTAGAGTTAATTCATGTCTTTTTTGCATTTATTTCCACCTCAGTTATGATTATTTTCAAACTCTTATAACTATTAGCCTTTCAGCTTTTGCTGCTCAATTGAATTTCAAAAACCTTTTGGAAAAATAATCATTTAGTTTTTTATCAGTATATAGATTATCTTTAGTCTTTCCCCTTCCTAATTGCATGGCTATTCAGCTTCTTTTTTCTCTTTTCTCTCCTTTGTATGGTTAAATCTTTTTACTATTTTGATTTCTTTTCAGTGTTGTATTTTGACTTGAGAAAAGCTGGGCTCTTGGGAATTTTTGATCCTTACATTCTTGACCTGTAAAGCACAGATTTTGTTGTTTATCAGTATTTCTTTCTGTTTCTTGTGCATTGTTTCCTTATTCTTAATATCCTTTTTGAGGTTTAATTCATCCAGCATGAATGAGCGCAACTTTGAATGAAGGAGAAATAGCCCTGTTTTTAAACAGACATAGTACAGAGAGGACGTGCGTAAGTTTCCTCATGTGCCTCAGTCAGTACACTTTTATTCTGACCTGTGCCACATTTGCTTTTCTTGTTGTTGGGCTGCTTACTAGTTCTCCCTGAAATATTAAGGCTCCACTGGCATCAGTAAACCGTAAGTAGCAGTAAGTAGAAATGTTACTAAGGTTATACAGAATGGTTCTCTCAAATATTAACACTAGATAAAGAAAATAACTATGCATCTTTTTTTTGTTTCTTTACTCATATTCTTTATTCAGAAGACCATATATAGAAGATGTTTATTTTTCAGTAGGCAGAAACAGACCACCTCCATTGTGCATCATAATTAACAGATAACAAATAATCTAAACTAATCAGTTGCAATATTGCAAATCAGAGGAAGAAGTTAGAGGCATCATAAAAACTTATTCGTCTTTTTATGACATTGCATCAAAGAATTAGGAAGAGTTTTTAAAATAAAGGGTTTTTTAAATAAATAATTCCAGTTTCAATATAATAGAGAATCTGTGAAATTGTTTAATAATATTTTTAAACTACAAAATGTTGATAGATGTGATTTATTTTCTTTTTTTACCAGCATCAAGAACAAGTACTTAATGATACAGTGGACGGAAAAGAAATCTACAATACTATTCGCCGGAAAACAAAGGATGCTTTTTATAAAAATATTGTCAAAAAAGGCTATCTTCTGAAAAAAAGTAAGAGCTTTCTTTTAAAAGTTTTCCTTTAAATACTTAACTCGTATTTTAATTGTTTGTTCTGTAAATTTCTAATGCAAGTTAATTAATCAGAAGCTTTATCATTATGATAGATATAATTGAACTTGAGAAATCACTTAAGTTACAAAACTACATAAAATTTGCCTACTTGTTGGAGAACCTACTGTACTGATTTTACTTTTATATAGATATTTTCAAGAGAAACATCATTTGGAAGATAGAGATATTTTCCATGAAAGTCAGCCCTCAAAGCCGAGAAACATCATTTGGAAAATATAGATATTTAAGTGATTTTTCTATTTTTCAGGCAAAGGAAAGCGGTGGAAGAACTTGTATTTTATTTTAGAGGGAAATGATGCCCAGCTTATTTATTTTGAAAGTGAAAAAAGAGCCACAAAACCCAAAGGATTAATAGATCTCAGTGTGTGTTCTGTCTATGGAGTACATGACAGTCTGTTTGGCAGGTATGATAATACCTTTCTTATCTGTGCAGTTGAACACTGTTTAACTTATTTTAGGCATACACCTATATTTATTTTCATGCATTCCGTTAAGCTCATTTAAGGAAAATAGTAATTATGTTGGAAATTAAAAATTCATGTCAGTTTATAGCATGAAATAATGGACAAAAATTACTTAGGTTTTTTTTATTAATATATTTGCTCTGCTTTTGAGTACATTAATGTTTGTCCCATCCTTTATAAATGGAAGTCACCTTTGAATAAGTAAGTTTTTCCATATTTTAAAACTTTGCTGAGAAATCAGTCACTTTTCAGTTTTTCAAAGAAACATGTGCTCCCTTGTTCATTTATCCATTGGTTAGGTTCAGTTGGTCAAAAACATTTTCACAATTGAAATTCCGTCAATTTCAAGTATGGAAGCACTTTGATATTAGAGCGGCATGGAAATTAATGCATATAAGCAAACATGGATAGCAATCCTTTTGGTGGAGAGATTAAAAAACAACCAGCCTTTCCTCTGTTTAATTTCCTAGATTCATAGGGACCTACCAAATTCACAGTTTCTTGGGTTTCACAGATTTCCGGTATTGCCCACAAAATCCAGGGAATGCCTGTGAAATCCATGGGGTATGGGGGAGTATGGAAATTTTAAAATGCTGGCTCCCCAGGGGAAGCCAACAGTTTTCAGTGCGCTGCGGCAGCCTGCTGGTCAGGGAAGGGGCGAGAAGGGTTGCTTGTCTGAAGAGCTGCTGGTAAGATGGGTACTGTCCCTCACCATTGATTGGCTTTGAGGACTGCCTTTCATGCCCCTCTTCACCAATTGGCAGCAAGGGGCGGAGCTTAATGACGGACATGCCTCACAGCCAGTCAGTGGTGAGGAGCAGAGCCACATGACAGGCAGCCCTCATAGCCAACCAGCGGTGAGGGGTGGGGCCACTGGGGCCTCGGCCAATTACAGGCATGGGGGCCTATTGTGCTCCACCTACAAAATGGATGCCCACGCCTGCATTCTGCCCATGAAATTGGGCGGCAGCCCCTGCAAATTAGGTAGGTCCCGAATAATACAAAGCAGAGAGGTACTATTAAGACCCTATTTAGCACATCCATCTTGAAGTATTGATGTTCAAAAGCTACCATTAATAGGAGTTGTGGTGATTGTCGGTAATAAGTGAGTTGAGTTGTTTAAGTTCTAGACAGAATTTGTACATAGCTAAAAATACTTCTCAACACCTTTATGTTCATTGGGAATTAAAAAAAAATGTTTTCAGGACCCTGTGATAAAACAATGAATTGGAGTAAATACTTATCCAGCTCTTTTTTTTTTTTTTTTTTAAGTGTAAGGGATTTCATTGTGACATGAATGGAAAACCACTACAATCAAATGGATTATTTTTCATTATTTTTTAAATCCTAGTCAAGACTTGTAGAATAAATAGAATACCCATGATTGAAAAACAGAAAAGAACAGTCTGGGGAAAGTCCAATATTAATATTTATTGGCCAGGAGGAGGACAAAATCTTAGTGAGTTCTCCGTGGCGAAACTGCGAAACCTTAAAGTCAGTCGTCCTTAAGTAGATATTTCTGGCTACTTCACCCATTTAAGGTGCAGTTTACTCATGCACTTATACCAGGGGCAGGCAGTTATTTTGGGCAGGCCTGGGTGGGCCTTGCTACTGGGTCCTGCTGCTGGCTTCCCCTGGGTCCTACTACCCTTGGCTCGTGTCATCTTTGACAGGCAACAAGGAGCGAAAAAATATTAATATTATAATTTTTTTAGGGGCCCTATGGGCCAGGTAGAATGGCCTGGCAGGCTGGATCTGGCCCCTGGGCCGTATTTTGCCTGCCTCTGACATAGACACTGCCACTGGCTGGCTTTGTCCTTTCCCTAACTACATGCTCATCTGGTGAATATTCAGTTATATACCTTATTTCCTGACACTTTAGACTTCAGTCATAAATGGAGCATGGTAATTTGACCACATATTGGCTATACTGTGTGATTTGTTTGTTGGGTTTTTTGTATGTTGGGGGTGCATTCTTACTCTAAATTGAACGCATGCCTTAAATGAAAACTTAAGTCTGTCTAAAGGATATTAGATCACTGTGACAAAAGAAATAGTGTAAATAGAGAAGATGTTTGAAGTGTACCTGAGGCTGTAGAAATTGTACAGTACTGTATGTGAGAATTAGTATATGACAGTATATAAAAATTGTGTTAATGTCACAGCAGTAGAATGAAAGTTGTGTATGTTGCAATCTAGCTTTTATTGCCTTAAAGCAATTTCCTGGGTATTTTGAAAGAAAAAAAAATTATGTGGAACTATTTGGTGATCCCATGCACCTTTAAAACATCTGTCGGTAATGTTCAAGATTGGTGAACCTTAGCGCGTTGCTTTTACTTTTCAAGATATCATCTTTACTGTGCTTAGCATTATACAACTAAGTTAAGTGTGCCCACAGTTCAGCCTTTGTTATTAAATGTTTTTGTAACATAAGTTTTACCAAACATGGATGAAGTATGGTTTATTCCCAAATGCTCATAATTCAGTTGCATCAGTTTTCACCAGAACACTCTAAAGAGATTTTTTTTCTCAAAAACTTCCCATTACAATTCATTTTCCTGTTCCTGTTCACTTCAACACTGCAAAAAGGGTTATTGTTTTAAAAAATAATAAGTGTTTCATTTTAATTCTTCTTTATATTCAAACAGCTGAACTGTGATGGCTCAGACTTTCCAAAAATATTTGCATTTTGGCAAAGATCAACAAGAAAAACAGATGGTGAGGCATATGAAGATGTTAATGTCCATTACTAAAACTCTTGTTTATGTTTTTTTAAAGGCCAAACTGTTTTCAGATAGTAGTTCAGCACTTTAGTGAAGAGCATTACATCTTTTACTTTGCAGGAGAAACTCCAGAACAAGCCCAGGTGAGAGCCTTTGTTATAAAATACTATGATTTTTTTTTTTGTCTGTTTTGATGTGAATGAAAATAAAGGTTTGCTGTGAGAAAAATGTGCTACAAGTAGACAGTTACCAGTATAAAGCTTTCAAGCCTTGTGCACTTCAGCTACTTATCCAACCTACTGTAGCCTTTCAGCTCAGTAAATCACCTCTGTTTGGTGGGGAAAGCTTTCTTTCCATATACTTCATGTATTTGGGGTGGATAGCAGTTCTTTTGAACTTTACGGAGAAATATTAACCCTAGGATACTGGGGTATGTTTTTTTTCCTGTGGTTTCCCAGTGTTGCAAGCCATCTCAGTGAAAATAAGAAAGTAGAGGCTCTGAAAGAGGCCCAGTTTCTGATTTGGGGGAGGGGGGCAGCTTTTCGGAGTAAATGCTTAAGAGTCAGGAAGGAAACCCTCTTAGAGCAAAAGGAGGGAGAAGAAATGACAGGCAAAAAAGCTCTTGATCCACTTCTCAAAATACAGGAGGAGTATTAATTTTTCCCTGCAGCATCCTGTGCATTTTGCCCTGCAGTGCAACTCTCCATGTACTAGGGCAATGTTTCTTAATCAGGATGCCATCGGGTGCTGGTCAAGATTAACAATGTTAGGTGTGCACGCTTAAACATGAATTGCAAGGTAAATTCATAGTATTAAAATAGGAAATCCATAATGTCAAAAACATTTTGAGTTCTTTTACAACAGAAGAATTTTGTTGTTATTTTTCTGTAGGTAAAAAAAGAGTAAAAACTTAAGACCTGCTGGCATTTTCTGAGGGGTGCCTTGAATCTAACAAGGTTGAGAACCACTTGACTAGAACTTCTACAGTTAATAGTCTTGAAGTACTACATGGTTCTTTTGTTAGATTCCCCTCTTCTTCCACTGTATTTAAAATTTTAAAAGTTAGTGTGCAACTCCTTGGGGGTCATGTGGCAGTTTTATTTATTGTACTGTTTTTACTTATTCCTTATTCTGTTTCTTACAGAAGGCCTGCTCAGCCTAAAAAAGCAGCAAATTCACAAAACAAAATAAAGAAAAAGTGACTTAAATATTAACGAAGTGCAGAACAAGCTTAGTATTTTTTATAAAGACTTTTTTGCTAAAGGTACTTTAGAATGAGCTGCCTTGTTCAGAAAGTTCTTCATTGTAAGTTAGTGTTATGTGACACATTCATCCAGTGTCTTGCTGGTCAGAGGTCCATTTTCTTGTCAAAAATTGACCGACCAGTATAGCATATTTTAGCATAGGGTAAATGACCACATTTGTTAGGTCATTTGTTTGCAACCCCAGACTCTGATAATGTATCTGTATCAGGACTTGTGCCTTAATGTCATTTTTTAAAAATTACTCTTGAGAACACTAGTGATACCCATGTAAGTCCCAAAATTCAGGAAATATTATAATTAAGCTTTTACTTATAGGAGTTACTCTGTCTCTCTTTGTGAAGACCAAATTCTCTTATTAGGTTTATGCAGTCTAATGGACTTTCATGACTTTACAGCAGTATAAAATTGACAATAGCATGTGTCACGTAGCCTCTAAGTACAATACTACATACTGCTTCTCTAAAATGATATACAATTATACAGTATTTTCTACAAGTTTGGATGCATTTTACATGATCTTGTAATACTCTAGTATTGAATTTATTAGAATATACAGTATTATATTATCAATTAGAATATGTAAAAGTGATTTTATATAAATATACACATTGATTAAGCTAAATAATTATGCAGAGCTCTGCCTTATTCCCTTGACACATGTAATGTAACCCACTTCTGGGTAAAAGTTGCTAAATGTCGTACTATTTGTAATGTGCATATGGAAAATCCAGTTTCTAAAGACCTCATTTGAACAAATTGAATCTATAAGAACTTCATCTAAAACCATGGAGCCTTATTAAATAAAAATCGATTTTTTTTTTTTTTTTTTTTTCCCAAAACTTCAGCTTTTAACCCCTCTTTTACCCTATCACTCTTTTAATGATATAGTAACTGTTTAGGAATGAAGTCTTGAGCTTTTAGAGAGAGTATAATTTTATAGACTTCCAATGTTTTGACATTGCATCTATTGTCTGAGCCTTTTAAGTTATAACAGAATCATTCCTCTAAATTTCTTTACTGTATTTTCAAAAACAACTAGAGTACGAATTTTTGAATTGAAACAGAAGTTAAGTGGTTGAAGTAAGGTCCTCTGCATAGACTTCATACTGATTTAAATTTTCTGAGTCTCTTTTTTAAACCATGTAAGTTTTAAACAGGTGTCAATGGAATCTACTACCCCCTAAAACTCTCTTAAATGGCAAAAATTCTGCCCCTTAAAAATAAGAGTCTGGAAATACAAAGAAATGTAATCCCTTATTTAACATCATATGGTCTTTTATCTGCTTGTTTCCATCCCACTCATTTCATACCAATTCCCCAAAACTTAACTGCCCCTGAAATCTGAAAAAAAATGTAAGCAAGTTAAACTGTTAGGAGATTAATGTAATAATACAAAAATGATATTGGTTTCTGATTTCATAAAACTTATCAAATAGCTGTAACCTATAGTGCTCAATGTTTTGGCTCTGCAGGCCAGCTGAGTGGCTTGGGACCCATCTTGGGGCTGGATCAGACCCTAAGGGCTGGATCACCCCCTTTTGCCACTGTGTATTGGAATTTAGGTCCCAGAGAGGCCTATATTAGGTACCAGATCCAGCACACAGGGCCTGGGGCTCCCGTAGGTCTGGAGGTTTGGCAGTTGGGGAGCAGTGCAGCCTCCTCCCTGCCCGCCAAATTTCTGGACCCACGGGGAACCATGCAGACTGGATGACGGGGCACTGTGGGCCAGATCTAGCCCATAGGCTGGAGGTTGAGACTCCTGCTGTAAACTAATTGTGTATAAATGCAATAGTAATTCTTTCCTTAAATAAAGAGTTGGCATTTCAATAAAAGTATTTTTCTGTGAACCTATATGTTTCAGTAAGGGCATAGACCTAGATAGTATTTGCAGTTGTTTAAATATAAGTTAAAACTGAAGCAGACTTGCATAAGCTTGTTTAAAAAGGTTTAAATCTTCCTGAAATGGTTCAAAAGTATTTTAAAATGGGACTTCTGGAAAATCAAGTACAGTAAAAGCTGTGTTAACTGACACTTTATTAGCCAGAAGACTTTATTAACTGGCATTCGAGTGATGCGGCAAAAGCGAAACTGGAAGTACCACTTCCAGGGGACTCCCCTTTTTGCCACCATGAGCTGAGTTTTTCGCGACTTTTTCGGCCCACGACCCAGGGTAAAGCAGCCTGTGCGGGGGGGCCCCCCTCCCTGTCCCCTGGCACACTGACGCCAGGGAGTGCACCAGGTGGTGTACATTTGATTAGCTGGAATATTTGATTGACTGGCATCCCCCATTCCCAGGGGATGCCAGATAACAGAGCTTTTACTGTACTATTTTGGACCATTTTTGTGTGTGAACACTAAGTGTTCTGTGGCACTGGTCTGGTTGGTCCTCCAGGTATCCTCACTGCGTTGTTCCTCACTCTCCAGTACACTGCTGTAATTGACTTCTTGGGCATGCACCTATAACTCTACTGGCCCCTTTTTTTCCTTTTGTTTATACTTATTGTCAGCAAGCAGCTTTGCACTGCTTGTTCAATAAAAGCTATCTTTCAGACAACCAGCTGTGTCCTCACTCCCTGTTCAACTATTCTCACTCCTTATTTCCTGCCTCATCATGCCCCTGTAGCTCTAGGAGCCCAAAAGAATGGGTCCAAGCACTGCCTTGTCCTCTCCAGTCCTCCTTCCCTTAAGTCAGGCAAACACACCACAGTCTTTGGTTGCTTTCAGGCTTTTGAAGTTTATTTATCTCATGTTTAGGAAAATGCCCCTAATCACAGGTCAGCTACTCCCTGGGTCCCTCAAAATGTAGGTTCAAACACTATCCCCAGTTGCCCATTACGAGCGTCCCCTTCCTGGTGTCAGAGCCCAAGCACTTCATACTATTGTGAACACACCTTACTGTGTGTGGAACCCTGGTTGAAGTGGTAATTCTTTAGTACTGTGTCATTTTTGGCACTTATGCATAGGTAGCAATTCTGTTTTCTGATAGCATGTGTATATGCACCACACATGCAGGCTGAACATGTGCAGTAGGCCACTTGCTGGCCAGACATATCCCCACCCCTTGTGGATACATACTGGCATCTGCAGCCCAAATGTAGGTGGTCCAAATCCTAGGATTAATGTGGGAGCGGCCCTCGCATGTTTTAACTCCAATAACAGAGCTATTAGGGTATTTGCCTTGGAAGCTGGATATCCAGGTCTCCCTTGCCTGGGGTGGGAGCGAAGGTTTGAACCACCATCTTTCTGAGATCCTACTATAGTGCGCCAAGCACCATGCCACAGGTCAGGTACTAGCCAAATCCTCTCTGGTGCTCCTTTTGAATGTGACCCCATGTGCAACTGAGAATGGCAGATGTGGGGACAAGAGAGAAAGTGAGGTGTGGCTTAGTGAGATGGTTACTCCCTTGGAATGATGGGATGCCTGAGTTCTAAGCTGAGCTGTGCTCTTGGTGAAGCAGAAACTGCTGCACTGCAGTGTTCTCCATCTGTTCTTTGTAATGCCTAATAGGTAAACAACTGCACCTATTAAATATAAGGTGCAGTGGCTCAACTTTCAAAGGAGTGCCAGAGAGAGACCTGGATAGGTTGCCTGTGGTCTGGAGGTTAGACTGCTGTACAAGGAAATCATAAAGATAAAATGCGGAAACCTGGGTCTCTGGCTTCCTAAGCAAGTTCTGTAGCCACACAGCATTGGGATTGAACACAGCATGGGCTCTCTTTTTTTTCTGGGACTTATACTCAGGTGCACATTACATTGTTGTTTATGCACAGGGTTTTACTTCTGGGAAACAGAATCTTTACGTAAGTGCCAAAATGCCACTTTCATGACTTAAAAATTGCCATTTAGATCAGGGGCTGACAACCTGTGGCCCACTAAGGTCACTGTAGTGGCATTTGGGGGGGGAGGGCGGGGACATCAGTATTTTGGGCTAAAATCAATGAACTATGGAAAAATTAGGCTATAATGTGAATTGTTCTGCAAGTTGGACTTCCAAGTCCCTTCTAGCATTGAAAAGTTACGAATTTTAATGCTGCTGTTATGATGGTTGATGAAGAAAAATGATACCAAAATGTTGTGCTTACTCTAGTTACAATCCAAGTAAACAAGCAAACTAACACTTAACGGTAACACATTTTATTTGCTTCCAGGATTGATAGGGTAGCAATCTAGTACCTCCACTGTTTCCTCTTCTATGATGTGTGTGTGTGTGTGTGTGTGTATATATATATATATATATATATATATATATATATATATATATATATATATATATATATATATATATATATATATATATATATATATATATATATATATATATATATATATATATATATATATATATATATATATATATATATATATATATATATATATATATATATATATATATATATATATATATATATATATATATATATATATATATATATATATATATATATATATATATATATATATATATATATATATATATATATATATATATATATATATATATATATATATATATATATATATATATATATATATATATATATATATATATATATATATATATATATATATATATATATATATATATATATATATATATATATATATATATATATATATATATATATATATATATATATATATATATATATATATATATATATATATATATATATATATATATATATATATATATATATATATATATATATATATATATATATATATATATATATATATATATATATATATATATATATATATATATATATATATATATATATATATATATATATATATATATATATATATATATATATATATATATATATATATATATATATATATATATATATATATATATATATATATATATATATATATATATATATATATATATATATATATATATATATATATATATATATATATATATATATATATATATATATATATATATATATATATATATATATATATATATATATATATATATATATATATATATATATATATATATATATATATATATATATATATATATATATATATATATATATATATATATATATATATATATATATATATATATATATATATATATATATATATATATATATATATATATATATATATATATATATATATATATATATATATATATATATATATATATATATATATATATATATATATATATATATATATATATATATATATATATATATATATATATATATATATATATATATATATATATATATATATATATATATATATATATATATATATATATATATATATATATATATATATATATATATATATATATATATATATATATATATATATATATATATATATATATATATATATATATATATATATATATATATATATATATATATATATATATATATATATATATATATATATATATATATATATATATATATATATATATATATATATATATATATATATATATATATATATATATATATATATATATATATATATATATATATATATATATATATATATATATATATATATATATATATATATATATATATATATATATATATATATATATATATATATATATATATATATATATATATATATATATATATATATATATATATATATATATATATATATATATATATATATATATATATATATATATATATATATATATATATATATATATATATATATATATATATATATATATATATATATATATATATATATATATATATATATATATATATATATATATATATATATATATATATATATATATATATATATATATATATATATATATATATATATATATATATATATATATATATATATATATATATATATATATATATATATATATATATATATATATATATATATATATATATATATATATATATATATATATATATATATATATATATGTGTGTGTGTGTGTATATATATATATATATGTGTAAATGTGTGTATGTGTATATATGTATGTGTATATATATATAGTGTTGGTGAATTTGACTTATTTAATTTGCCCTGGAAAAGGCAGTGTTTAAAACTAAGAAATGTGAGGTTTTTTTCTTTTTAGTAATTGTCCACTTTTTGTATTGGGAAGAATGGATACAACATAAAGAATATTCATTTTTAGAAAAATACTTAATGAAATTCCATCAGCCTTGTATAAATTTCCTTTTCCAGGCTTAATCACAAAGGCTACAGCATTACGAAAGACAGACAAATGATAGTTAAGTTGGACAGACTTCCTGTGGAGTCCTAGTCTAAAAGCTTTTTGTCCTATTATGGAGTATTTAAAAGATACTATAACATTTTAAAAGACCTTATTTAAAAGATTGTATTCTCCAACTTGTTTGCTTGAGAAAAGTTTAAAAGAATGTTGTGGTTGAATCTTACGGCATTGCTTTATTCTAATATAGCTTCTGCCTATTGTGTGCATCATTATGTTGAACACACAGGATAATCAAGTGGGGTAAAATTTTTGGATACATTTGAAACTTTTATAGGAGTGTTGTGACTAACATGATATAGCCTACTAATGCAGGTTGAATGCTTGTTAGCCTGAAGCTTAACTATCAGCTGTACTAAAGCTCTGTGCTTATTGAGCAGATATGAGAGGGAGACCCTGACACGTTTTCCACCTTCTGCTGTCCTGTCTGGGAACCAAACTGATCCCAGCTCAGGTTAGCACTTAGAAGCCTGAAGTCTGCTTTGACTCTTGCTGTGTTCCAGTAGCCTCTCATGAGTTATCGTGCTGAGGAGGACTGACTTCTCTAGTAATACAGTTTCCAGGGAAATCAGGAATATAAGACATACAGCTTGGTTTGTAGCTTTGTACACAACCCGTTAATTCTACTGTACAAAAGGAAACCTTACATAAAGGACAACTTTATGGTTTCCTGAGCAGCTAGAAGGGGGATTAAAGATGTCACCTTTAATCTTTCTTCATACCTGTTTGTTTTGTTTTTTGCTATATTTGCACCTAGAAGTGAGTCAAAAATACTTCAGCAGTGGGGGGTGGGGAGAATGGAGCATTAAGTAGCGTGATTTACTCAGAAATAACCAAGTCTCGCTTCATTGTATATACTATATGTAGTTTAAAACAATCTCATTAGGGTGGAAAATTGGTAAAGGTCACACTGTATTAGTAATACTTGATGTTTCTAGAAAAAAATCCTCTTCATTTGCAGAGGCCAATAATCAGTTCCACTGAATAAGGAATAACATTGTTTTCTATCCTTTAGAATTCTATGTAACGTTTATAAAGAAAAAGTCTAGAAATATTGATTGAGATGTTTAAAAAGTTAAAGATTTTGAAAAGGTTGTATCTATCATACAGTATGTAATATGTGACTTGTTTTAGTTTAAACCACTGTTGTGTGTCTTTTATAGGACTGGATGAAAGCTCTGCAAATGTTTTGCAATTTACGAAAAACCAGTCCAGGGACATCCAATAAACGTCTGCGTCAGGTAAAATTGTTATGGATATTTTTCAGAGTTCTGAAAGTTTATTAAGCTGAAAACTTTACTCTGAAACCTTCTTAAACACTGAATATATATTTTATAGGTTTAAACTTCCTGAATAAATTGCATCACAAGAACTGGTTGCAGCATAGAATAAGACTCTCATGTGGGCATGTTTTAGATTCATTGCTAGGCACCACTTTCTGGGTACCTAAAACAATTGATTCAAAATTTCAGAAGTGACCGGGTACTTTTGTAAATGTTACTAGCTTTGTTTGCCATTTGCTGTTAAAAGTTAAGTTTTCTGCTACATGCCACCAATTCTTCTGTTTCGTTGGACTTCAGGGCAGATAGACTTTGAACCAGGATATCTTGGCATTTCTCTTTTCATCTTCAATTTATTTGTCATTTAATTAGAACTGTCATAGGCCAAAATTGGCTCAAAGCTAGAAGACTAATAGGAATAAATGGATACAGTAAATGCTCATTAATTCACCAGTGTAAAGGGGATCTAAATTGTAGCAAATTATGCAACAGGACTAATTATCAGAAATTGATGATTGGCCAGTGAGGGGAATTGGAGGAGCAGCAGGAAATTAAACTATATCCCTTAGGAAAATTAACTAGAGTCTACTGTGACTTTTTTCATGGAAGATTGGCACTGAGATATCATAAGGTTTTTCCATACTTGGATTGATGTTGTTTTAAGATACTATAACAATTTGCTTTAAAGAGATGAGGCTTGAGGTATGCAATACAATACTTCTTTTTTAAAGAGAATGTTAATTTAATTTTTGAAGATCCTAATTCTAACAAGTGGGCAGCGTGATGACAAATCAAATTCAAGGCTGTCAAAAGTAATATAACGTACAATGGAAGAATAAGTTGAACTACTCATATACTTTAGTGAACTCTAAAACGGTAACAATTTTGGAGTGGGGGGAGAGACATGGCCATCATTATTTGGTAGCAGTCAAAAAACAAAAATGATGGATATTAGGATACCATTTATTCCCTATAGAGGAATAGGGAAAACACTGAAAATGCTACGTTATTTTGTATAGCAGCTTATTCTCACTTAGACCACTATGTTTTACTTTTAATCACCTTGTCTCAAAAGGTTAAAGGATAAAGCAGAAAAAGATGGGGTTTCAAGATGGGAGATAATAATGTCTGAAGTAAAACTTTCAGACAGTGTTTAAAAAGTATGGGAGTGTTTTTAGAGAGAAGAAAATTAAAAGGACAAGATAAAGGTTTGCAAAATAACAAATGATGTAGATATAATAGATCAGGCATTTATAGTTACTGTAAAAAAAACAAATTAATGAGTTTCAAAGGCAGCAGATTTTAAAACTGAGAGAGAAATGTGTTTATATAGCAAATCAGTTAAGTTATGGGACTGTGGTCTACATACGATCATTGAAGGCATTAGTGAATGCTTGGTCCATGGCATAAGTTGGCCTCTAACTGGGGAGGGCCTAGGGGAAGGAACTTTTCTGTTAGCTGCTTGTTCCATGACTTCCCTTCAAATGTTTCTTGAACCTCTCTCTGAAGCTGCTGTTCCCGATTCAAATGAAACTACTTGCTTTCTGTGTTTATTGTCTAAACTAATTCCCATGGCTTATTTGTTAAACAAACAAACAAACAAAATTGTATCTTTTCTGTAGGTCAGCAGTCTTATTTTACATGTGGAAGAAGCTCATACACTCCCAGTCAAACACTTCACCAATCCTTATTGCAATATTTACCTGAACAGTGTCCAGGTAGCAAAAACGCATATCAGGGAAGGCCAGAACCCCGTATGGTCAGAGGAATTTGTCTTTGAGTAAGTCTGGCTCTTTTTGAATTACTCGGTTTCATTTTAAATTTGTATTTGAATTTGAATTGCATTTAAAACATAATGGTTCCTTAATATGAACATCCTGTTTAGGAACCTTTGAATTTTCATGTTTGTCTTTTTTAAATTACCAGTTGTCTAAGGTCTATCCTTTTCAGTTATAAATGCATGGCAGTTCATGGGCAAAATTTTCAGTTGTCTTAAGTTTTTGTGTTACTATAACTAAGTGCATATTTATGGCTGCTAGTTAACTCTGGATGGTGAAATTAAGATCTAGAAAAAAAGCAATTGAACATTTAGCAAATAATTTTAAAATACCACACGCACAGTATTAATCACAATTTTTCCAATTGTTTCCTTCAGTGACCTCTCATCTGATATCAACAGATTTGAGATAAGTCTTAGTAACAAAACAAAGAAAAGCAAAGATCCAGATATATGTAAGTCTTTTTCTCATATAAGTATGTCTTTATATTACAGAAAGGCAAAAGAGTTGTGTCCTTCTCCAAACCCTTTCCACAATTTGTCAGTTTTGACAAAACTGTTCAACAATATGCATTTCTCTAATGGCTGTTGACAACTTCTCTATCAGAATATTTATGCTGATATTCTTATAAGTTTCTTACTAGCATATTTTAAATGATTTAGGAATCAGCAAGTGTTCCCACATTAACTGCAATTAAACTGGACAGTAGCTTGATCAAAATGATATTTTGTATCCTCTGTGTTTCCTCAAATCTATCACAGAATAACCTTTCTTATAGTTTGCTGCCTACCAAAAAAGCAAGAAAAAATAGTTGATCTTATCCTGATCTTCAAAACAAAACAAAACAAAAAACTAGGTGTCATTTAGATTAACTTCTGTTTATTTTTCTCATCTCTCCAAACCTGGTGGTATGGTGAATTGCTTAGTTCTCTAAAGCACTTTGCTATTTCTAGTGGAACAAAGAGAATAACAGGTGACTTGAAAAGGAGAGCGATCTTTCGGGAAAGCTGCGAAAGTAGGTGCTTTAGGCCAGTGGCAGATATTAATGTAATCTCATGATTGGGACCTGAGTTGTTTTATGACTGATCCCCAAAATAGCATGTGCTGCCAATGCCAGACATGCATAACAAAATGCATGGTTTTTGAGATGAGCATAAATTTCTCAGAACACTGTTGTGCAGCTAGATATCGGGGAGCTCCCCAGTCCTTAGGTGACTGCCCCATGGCCCTTTAAAAATTGTGCAGAGTTGAGGATTGGGGAGCTCTGTGATCTGTAGCTGTTTGTGCTGTTTGAAGGTCCTCATTGCCTTTTCAAGTTGCTGGTGTGTGGGGAACTGATTCTTCACTGCTAGGTTTCACTGGTGTGCCTTTCAGTGGAAAGGAGGCAGTTGTGTCCTGGGTACAGGTTCAGTATCTGGGGCTGCCCCCCCACCCCCCCAATCGTAGGATTAGGCATGGGGCAGCTATGTCCTAGGCACAGGGGTTGCACCCTCTTCAGTTCCAGAGATCTATTGATTTTGGCAAGGGGCAGCTGTGTCCTAGCCCTTGGGGACCTCTCCCCAACCAATCCCAACGTTCAGCTGATTGTTGGGATCGTAGGGGGGAGGCAGCAAGTCTAGGATATATGCCACACCCAGTGCCATGTGTTCTTTGTCTGCTGTCCTCACCTGCTATTTCTCTGTATGCTGTTCCCTGCCTTCACTTATTTTCTGGGAGTCAATGCAAACCGCTCTTAAAAAGTTGCACTGAGTTTATTTCTGTTTGGGTGTGTTCAAATCAATGCTTCCCACAGTCTTCATATCTGCTTCACTGAACAAAAAGGTTTGTTTTCTGCAGAACTAGCTTTCTGCTGTGCAGAAAGCACAAGCATCTCCTTTGGTCCTGTTCCCCACACTTTCAATTCTTACCAGCATTTTAACCTCACCTTTGCACTGCCTTGAGTAATTGGAAATAGCAATAGAAAATCTCTGTGTTGGCAGTAGGACATCCTCAGGTGAACATAGGGGATGATCCTTTATGACCTGAATCTCACCTGCCATAATTTAGGTTCTGGAGGAATTTCTTTATGTCTCTTTTATTGGGGCTTTAGTCTGTTGTCCATGGTTGTGTTGTTGACAGATTGTTGTTAGCTTCAATATACCCCCTGTATAAAGATAAGAAACTATTTGTGGCAAAGCCTTGATGTGAAGTCAAATTATTCTGCCTCAAATGAATGCTCTGCTCCAGAATTTAGATCAGCTGCAAATCATCTGCTCTTCTTCTGGAAAGTATAATTTGTTTACTGACCTTTTTCTTCTCCGTGTTTCTTGTGACAAAGATTAGTTTTAATAGTGACTGAGAGATGGCTTCTATTTCAGTAGCCCATTCAAACCAAATTATTTATTATTTAGACCAAAACCTTGAAATTTAGCTGAGGGAAATGTGAGGTCTTTTTAGTAATCTCCATCTTTTTAGGGTAAAGAGAATATATTAACTGGAGGAAAATGGATAATCCTTACCTAAGACAGAATGCTTAGCACGCTTTCTTGTTTCCTGGTGGGTGGACTCTTTCATAGTATAACATAATGGTACTTTTATTGTAGGATGGAAAATAGGGGATTCTACCTCAAAATTAACAAGTAAGAATTTTTCACTCATTTAAACCCTGTTAAGCCTTCAGAAGTATGTGATCTGATGTGCTAGCAGTGTAGAATTATAATTCTTTTTATTCAAATCAATAATGGTGACACATACACTAAAATGAAATGTATTTAATACTAGTATCATCCTTCCTAAGAATAACTTATGCAGGACTGGGTTTTTTTTTTCGAAGTGTTTATGCGCTGCCAGTTAAACCGGTTACAAAAAGGACACGCAACAGATGAATGGTTTCAGCTCAGTTCTCACATACCATTAAAAGGTATTGAACCAGGATCTTTGCGAGTACGAGCACGATATTCAATGGAGAAAATCATGCCAGAAGAGGAGTACAGTGAATTTAAAGAGGTATGTACTTTGACAGTTTAAAAAAATCACTAATTTAAAAAGTATTAATGCCCTGCCTACTTGATTTATTAACGTCACTTGAGGATTGATCTTGTTTGGCCTTTTAAAACAGAATATGTGTTACACCTCTTTTATGAACTTAACATGCTACTCACCAAGCAATACATAAAGAAATCTTAATAGCGATAAACTCCTGTTAATTTTCCTGAAGCAGTGGTGCTAGGAGAATTCTTAATGTTGAGAGAGAGAATTTTTCTTTTTTAGCTTATACTACAGAAGGAGCTGCATGTAGTTTACGCCTTATCAAATGTATGTGGACAGGACCGAACACTATTGGCCAGCATTTTACTGAGGATTTTTCTTCACGAAAAACTTGAGTCATTGCTCTTACGAACACTAAATGATAGGGAAATCAGCATGGAAGGTACAGTACAAATGTCTACATGCTGTATGTAGTTTTCCTAAAATGTCCTTGAAAAGTTTTAATTGAAAGACAGTGTGTATCCCCCTTTCCACCCCTTGTGAATACACATGCTACTAGGAGCTTAATTCTTGCTTCTGGTTGCTCGTTTCCTCTTCTCTGTCCTTTTGAAATGATGGTTATATATTTGTTCAGATGAAGCTACAACCCTATTTCGTGCTACCACACTTGCAAGCACCCTTATGGAGCAGTATATGAAAGCTACAGCAACACGTTTTGTTCATCATGCGCTGAAAGACTCTATTTTAAAGATAATGGAAAGCAAGCAGTCTTGTGAGGTGGGAACTTTGATATATACTTTCTGTAATGCTTTAATTTGTGGAAGAAAAGGTTATACAGCAGTTCAGTTCCATATTTTGTATCGTTTATTAGCTTTAAGATAATATATTAACTTTTCTGAAAATACATTTTCATTACTTTAAAAATGCCATGGATTAGAAGTTCAAAGTAAAATACTTTGAATTTGATAAAGACTGTCTAGAACTTAATACAAAAATATACATAGCTCTGTTTCTAATGTACATTTTAAAGAAATCTCTGTTTTGAAAATTGAATCATGATAGCCAATTGGTAAATTTCTTCCATAGTCCTTCATTAGATTGCATATGACCAAAAGGATAACTGATTCAAAGACTATAGAGCTACAATTACTGGAGATATTTTCTTATTTAAAATGTCAGGGGATCAATTCATGATTTGCTTATTATTATTATTATTATTACTAGGGACCTCCACAAGTCGAGGAGGGCAGGTATAACTAATTTCTTGGGCAGATTGTGGGGCTGGCCACCATTTTAATGGGCTTATCACAGCACCCTCTCCTCCCCACCCCCACACACGCACCCCTCTGGCTGAGGGGCTCCCAATGGCCCTACCCCTCACCACTGATTGGTTGAAGGCTGTCTGTCATATAGCCGTGCCCATCATCTCTGACTGGCCGAGAGGGTCCATCATGCAGCCCTGCCTTCGCTGCTGGTTGGTGAAGAAGGGTGGGGGCTGCATGATAGGCAACCCTCAGCCAATCAGCAATGAGTGGTGGGGGTGGCCACCATCTTGGTTGCTCCCCATCCCTTGCTCCCCTGGCCATGCAGCCACCAGGTCACAGCAGTCGCATGGACCGTTGGCTCCCCTTGGGGAGCCAGTATTTTATTTTTAGTAAGTTGTTTGTTTTGTTTTACCCCCAGCTAATTTCACAGACACTGCCCAATCTCACCGACAATGCCTAATTTTGCAGTTTCCACAATCGCAAATTTCATGGTCCCTAATTTATTATCGGTAGGCTTAATTATTATTTCACCTGTATTACTGCTAGTTTATTTTAGAGGGATGGAGAATCTCAGAAGCCTAAATTGTAAGTAATATAAAACACCAAGCACTTGTAACAGTCTAAGAATGACTTGTTCTGTTAAAATATGCTCCTCTGCTTTTGTTTCCCCACTGCTACTGAAGCTAGTATGGGGCATGCTCCACAACTTGAGGCTCATGTTCTGTTGCTCACTTCACTATTGTTTTCAAGACATCTACAGAATACAATTTGAATGTAATGTTTAATAAATCTTGCAGCTGCATAAACATGTTCAATATTTTGGAAAAGGAACTTTTACTTAACTTGCTGTGTTTTTCTTTTATTAGCTAAATCCCTCAAAGTTAGAAAAAAATGAAGATGTGAACACTAACTTAACACATCTGCTGAGTATACTTTCAGAATTAGTGGAGAAAATATTCATGGCTGCAGAGATATTGCCTCCGTAAGTTAGTGGTTTTTTGTTCAGATTCTATTCAGAAATTCCCTTTTTGCGTAAGTGATGTTTTCCTACAAAAAATACCCTCTGCTGCTGTTGTTAGGGCTGTATGGATGCTTAAGATGCATCTATATAATAGGGGAAAAACAAAAGTCTATATGCAAGGGATTGAATTCTCTTTTGCACAAATGCCTTCTGATGGCATATGCATAAAATGGCTTTTCAACAGGGATGGTTCTTCCTCTCTGAATAAAGTATACTACAATCCTGACTATTAGAAAAAAACGCCAGAGCAGTAAAACTAAGTGGGGAAAATTGTCAAATAGCTCAGCTCCTTACAACTTTTCTCCTGGCTTCTCCCATTGAAAAGGGAGCATGGTATCACTTTGTAGTAAGACTGTATTGAGCCTCATGAGTCCATCAGGCTCAATGTTGAGAATTTAAGTGGGGTTGTATATTTTTGGTCTTTTAATACTGGTAATATAAAAATTTGATAGTCCCAGCACAAGTTGCATTTAAAATCTGAAATTTTGTATTTCTCCTTTCATTGTCTATACTTGAATCCTCACTGTGGAGTGTGCCTATGCCACAAGCAGGTCTGGCTTGGAGACTTTTAGCCCCTAGCAGTACTTGTAGTGTGTGCTTTGTTTCTGTTTCTCCTCATGCTCTGTGCCTAGGGTTAAAATATGTGGTATTTGCTTCCTGTGCTTCATAACTACTTTGGTTGAAGAAGTCTGCTGGTTTGTGCTCAGTGTAGCCTGCAAATCTGATTTGGAGTCCTTCATTCAAAGAGTTTCTGCCTTTCTCTCTTTCTCTTGCTTTTTTATCAAAAACAGTACAAATAAATTCTTTTAGTTGGGCCTACCTTCTTTGTTAGGGACGGTACAGCTTTGTATCTCAGTCTCCCTCCTACCTTGGAGTCATTATTTTTAGGATATTGCACCGCTCTGTTCTTTTCTTTTTCTAGTTTCTGTCCTCTTTTTGTTTTCTTCTTGTTTGAGAGAACATACGCCCCAGACAACTGACTCCGGCTTATCCCTGCTCACTGGGATTTAAATTGATGCCCATCTTGCAACAGTGCCAATTTCATATCTTACAGGCAATTCGAATGTTAATACTATCTTTCTGACCTTCTGAAAGGATTCATTCAGTGTATAGGAAGGAGTGCTTTTCTTTTCTCATCTTATGCTGGCCTGTGATTGTTTTGACGGTTGCATCTATTAGGCTGGAGAACGTTTGCTGATGACCTTCAGGCACGGGGTGTCAGTGCCCAAGGAGATAAGGCTGTATCACTATGCCAGAAGTCAAAGCCATTCATTCAGAGAGTGTACTGAATGCAAGTGACTTCGTGTACATATTATGATGGACAATACTGATGTGATGTTTTCTGTCAAGAAGCAGGACAGTGGAACAGATCTTTCCCTTTAAGCAGCTCACCTAAAACACTGAGTACATTTGCCATCAAATACACATAGGTTGTACAGATTGTTGGCCTCCAGAACAGAAGAACAGACTGTCCCAGAGATTCAAGTTCCTACATCGGAAGTGGGAGGTCAAGGACTCTGTTTTCTAATTTTATTTTATTTTTTATAGACTGAGGTTGTCTAAAATACGTATGGATGTCAACAATATTCAGTCCTACTTCAGGGGAACCTCTGCTTGGGATCCCTCTCCAGTGTTGTCTGTACTCTGGGATGCTCCTTGTTTCCCTCTGCCCGTGTCCTGATTCTTCAGGTACTCTGCGAAGTGTCAGACAAGACTTGACTCCAAATTTCTTTCAGACCCCTGCATGTCCAAGACAGTTCTGGCTTCAGCATTTTATGCTAGCAACATGTGAGAAAACATGTTGCCTCTGGTTCTTGACCTTCTCACTCAGGACAAAGGAAGATTGCTTCATCCCATCCCAAATCTTACAGCTTTAGGGCTTTTTTTGGCTCTTGGAGATTAAGTAGAAATGCTCTGTCCAATTCAGAGGCATCCTTATTCACAAAAGAAAAGTTCATTTAGTGGAGTTCTGTCTGGCCAAGTGGAACGCATTCTTGACCTCTGGTGCCAGGTAAGAACTCTTTTCCTGGAGAGTTCCCAATTCCTATGGGAATCTAAACATTTGAATCCTACAGTACCTGCTAGGATTCAAATGTTTGGTCTTATCTGTCAGTTTAGTCAAAGGGCAACTTCTGGCCTTCGTGGCTTACAGTTCTCCAGTTCCAAGAATTATAGAAAAGTAGAGCCAGAAGGGACCTCTGCAGTTTGTCTAGTCCAATCCCCTGCTCAAGGCAGGATCAACCCTATCTAAAACATCTCATGGAAGAATGTGTCTAACATAACCAGCTGTATTGCACAACTAAAAAGCATATTGCCTAAAGATGCCAAAAGCACCTTAACCTGCCGGGGTAAAGCAAGGGGATGAAAGTTGTTCCACCACTGCAAGAGTTGTTAAAATGCACCTTAAAGATCCAGGAGGTTGGTGGGGAGGGGGGGAAGGCGTGTCATCCTCCAGTACAGAGGAAGTAAAAAACCCACTCAGTCTGTAACAATGTGATCATGGGTACAATTCCTTCCTGATCCCAAAGGTGGGGACCTGTCTGACCCTGAGTAGAGGGGCAAGACCCTCCAACCAGGAACCTGTAGGTTAAAGTCCCAGCAGGAGCATTGTGATACCTCAGTCAAAAATCTCCAGCCTTAGCAAAAAAAAACCTTAATCTGACCCCTGTAGCAACACAAAGAGAAGAAATTCCTTCCCAGCCCCATATGGCAACTGGCAAAGGTCAGAAGCCTGGTAAAACCAAACACCTGTTGTTCTGCACTGCAACCTGGAGGGATAGCAAGCATAACTCCATATATCGTATAGTCTGAGTTCCCAGTGTTCACTCTGAGATGGTTTCTGAGAACCAAGAAAAGAGCCAGTCCTGCCATGATTAAATATATATAAATTTTAATATTAAAATCAATAATGGAATACAATAAAGATGTAAGTGATTAAACAGTACAGAAAAGGTATATCAAGCAAATAATTATTTATTATTTATAAATATATTTATAACTTATAAAATGCACATTTATCTACATTCTAAACACAGCAATTTTATCAGTATTTGACAGCAATTTACTCTTAAAATTTCTAATTCCTAAAGTCTTTAAAAACTTTTAACAGATGGCCAGCCTTTTAGGGAAAGGACCATCTTACCTAGGTTTCAAAAGTAAAGTTGCTAAATAGCATTAGCTAGGTACTCTAACAGTTGGGTAATTCAGTAAGAACTGTAGTTCAAAACTGAAAAGCAAAAATTCCAAAGTGGACACAGATTTTTATATTTTATTGTTTGGCTAAAATGTGTAAAAGCTTACTAGGTAAGGTAAATAAAATATAAATGTTCCTAATAGATACAACTCTAATAATATTTATCTGCCTATTCTTATTCACTATATAAGCTTTACCTTGTCTAAAATTGGACCACTAAATGTACTTGAGGTGACCTTGGAACATTTTACCCAATTTTTCTCAATCCATCTTTCTTGGGTTTTCTAACAGGGTTCATACCTTGTGACATTCTCTCATCTGAGCTTTTCTCTTGCCTGTTCTTTGCTTGACCAAACTAAGTCAGACAAATATAAGCAACTCTTTACTATTCTGTCCTTAAACGGCTAAAGGCCTATTATAGTCTACACAAGTCAGAACTCTAGTTTCCGTATCCCCTCTATAAATTTATCCTATCTTCTTTCATAACTAAGCCAGTTGTGGAGCTTTGGTTAATTCTGCTGCTAGGCATGGTCCTCCCCAGTGTCTGCCTGCTCTGGGCTGCAGAGCTGTTCTTATGATTTCCTGGCAATCCATGGGGGTGGGTAAGAAGCAAGGGCTTCTAACTGTTGCTCTTTATGGAGAATGTTCATAGCTACTCCTAGATCATCTCTTCAGTGCTTATCCAAGCTCTTCTTGATAACTGCCTATGATGGAGAGTCCATAACTTCCCTAGGCCATTTATTGCACTGACTCACAAAAGTGAAGACCATTTTTCCTTAAACTTTGCTGCAACTTCAAGCCATTGGTGTAATTCCTGCTCAGTTGAAAAAAGATGTTCTCTATCTTCATGGTAGCTTTTCAGATATTTGAAGACTTCAGTCATATCCCCCCCTTGTCTTCTCTGTAGGCTGAACATACCTTTCAACCTTTTCTTTGTGGCTTGCCTTTCTTGCCATTTATAATTTTTGTCACCTGCTTCTGGACCCTCTCAAATTTTCCATGTTCTTTAAAAATGTGGAACCTAAAACTGCACACAATCTAAATGAGGCCTAACCAGCTCTTAGTAGAGGTGCTATTTACCCACTGCGCCTTGTACCTAATTATCCTATTGATGCTCCTGTTGATGCAGCACAAAAAACATTTACTTCTTTTGCAGTTGCATCACACTGCAGACTGATTGAGTCGGTGATCCACTAAGACTCCTATATCCTTCTCTGCAGGGCTGCCATCCAGCCAGTTGTCATACAATCTCTACATACTTGTATGGCAGTCTTGAGATTCTGTAAGGGCCTGACCAAGGTAAATCAGATCCACAATAAGATCTGAATGTGGTTCTTCTGTGTCTGATAGGGGTGTGTGAAATGGGCCATATTTGATTCGGATTTGGCCTGAGTCGGGGACAGCGATTTGATTTGTTGATTCTGATTGCTGTCCCCGATTCAATTCGGCTGAATCTGAAGATTCAGTGCCGATTCAGAGAATCAGCGATTCAGCCATGGACACAGCTTTAAATTGTTTTTTCTACATACCTCAAGGTACCAGGTGCAGCTCATGAATGCTGTTATGGTGGGGTGGATGGAGCGTCCCACAGGAGTGGGGAGGGGGTCCCACACGCCCCACAGCGGACCCAGAAGTGGACTGGAAGTGCTTCTGGGTCTTCTGCCGAGCATGCTGGGGACCTCCTCGTGCTCCTGTGGGACGCTCCATCCGCCCCACCATCTCAGCATTCACAAGTCGCCTGATACCTTGAGGTATGTAGAAAAAGCATTTAAAGCTGCGTCTGTGCCCGAATCATCGAATCTTTCCGAATCTATTAGGAGGGTTCCGATTCAATTCCGAGAGATTAAAGGGTCTCTTGATTCGATTCGGATATTCAGCCACTGAATCAGGCTGAATCTCCGCCGAATCGAATTGGGGACTGAAGCTTCACACAGCCCTAGTGTCTGATGGGACTGGGAACCCATGAGAGCATGTGTTCTTTTTAACTATGCAAGAGAAAACCTTCAGAAATGCAAGAGAGAACCTTCAGAAAGTCTCCACAACTGTGTCTTGACTGGTAGATCCAAGGGCTCAGTGTTATTTGCTCAAAGATTTCCAGTAATTGGAATTCTTTAAGAAGTTATCCATGTGTACATATCATCCTGACTTTCTCCTCCTCTTCCTCTGAGTTAGATGCAACATTAAATTCCAACATATGAAAGGCAACTGAAAAGTAGGAAGGACATATCATCCTTTATCACCTTGGCATGGAGCATGAGAGGGAAGGCTGGGGCATGTTCTGCTGGTACTTCTAACATGATAGTCTTCAAGCTTGAATGTTTGTGGTACATTCATACACTACAGTAAGAGAGTCCATATGTGCAACATATGTTAAAGAATTCCAGTTGCCAATAAATAATTTCTCTTCCCAGGTTTCTGTGTGGTTTAAATTGTAAAGTGCATATCTGTATTTGTTAGCATTCTGTGATGGTTCTCGCTTCTTCCGTCAATTTGTTAGTTTATGTCATTACTAGCTTTTGATATAATCAAAACTCTGTGTTTATCAATGGCCATCTACCATAAAAGCTGTGTTGGTGACTCTTTCAGCTGTTGCCTTGTGCTATGTACCTCTTCCAGGGTTGGTAATGGGCATTGTATTCCTGCAAATTTCATGCAACTGCTGGCAATATTTGCCTGAAAAATCCCACCATGATTTTTGAACACCTATCTGGGTCCCATACACTCAGTGAAACGTTTCACTTTATCAGGTTTAAGAATTGCACCAGAGACCAGTTGAGAATATAAAATACAGGCTCTAATTAAACATTTTTGAAAAAGAAAACACTGATAGCCATAATACAAATGCCAATGAAATATCTATGCACTATGCAAACAAATGTACTTTTCTGTTGGGGAAAGACTCTGCCCTTTCTTGTAACAGTATGTAAGATTTCTTACTGTGATGAGATAGTTAACTGTATTATTTTGACAGGACATTAAGATATATTTATGGATGTTTGCAGAAGTCTGTCCAAAACAAGTGGCCAACCAATACCACTATGAGAACTAGAGTTGTTAGGTAAGTTGCTTGCCATTTCATATATATCTTGTAAGGATAAGTACAGACTGTCAAAAAGCTGGAGGCTGAATCGACTTAATCTTCACACGTTAGTCTAAGCAACATAGATTGACCCAGTAACCAAGTGAACAGACATTCAGTTTTGATTTTGGAAATGTAGCCACGTGACTGCAGTGGCCCAGGCTAGAAGCTGGGGGGTGGTGTGTCCTACAGTTTGCCTCCTGCTTGACTGGAGCAGGCAGCTTGAGCTAAGGCTAGCCCACCTACCCTGCCGTGGTGGGATGGGGTTTGTGGAGGAGGTGCAAAGCATTGCGGGATGCTGTGAGACTATGACTTAACTTGAATCTGAAAGGGATCTGGAACAGAAGTTCAATAAACCAATTTAACCTAAGTTAGTTAAGTCTGACACTACATCCATCCAGGTTTATCTTAAACCAGTTTCATTTTGAAAGAGGTTTATGTGCACTGAACTTCTGTGGTATTACAGATTTGAAACTGGTTTCTGATCACTTATACTAGCGTATGTGTAATTTCTGTTTATCGCCTAAAAGTCTGTAAGTTTTATTTCAGATATGACATGATGACTTACAGTACTAAGAAGTTACACCACACAGAATATTGTGTGTAAGAAAACAAAACAAAACTCCCCTTACTGTATATAAGCACAAGTTCTAGATGAAATCATTGGAATACCCCATGTCCAGTATTCCTGTTAGTAGATACAGAGTTGCTTACCCCACTTCCATTGAAGACTGTGTATGTTAGACTCTGTCTCACTTACCGTACGAGAAGAGCATGCATGTGGACAGTATCTGCAGAGTAGTTGTGAGTTTGTAAGCACATCCTTGTTTACTGTGTGGTAACTTGTTCATTAGTCATAGTATTACCGTACTTTCATTAACCAACCAAAAATGTAATGGGAGAAGGTCTTAAGTATACTAAAAAGATGTTTTGTATTGCAAAGGAGCAATGTATGTTTACCATCTACCATCTTCCGGCTCCTGAGGCAGCTCTCAGAGACCATAAAAGCTAAAGAGGCGGTAGTCATGGGGGACCTAAACTACCTGGACATCTGCTGGGAAACACAGACGGCAAAGTCCCACTGCTCACACAGGTTTCTAACCTGTGTACAGGACCTCCACCTGACACAGGAGGTACACGGTCCCACTAGGGGGAATGCCATACTGGATCTGGTATTGGCAACGGGGGATGACATGGTAGGGGACCT